GACAGGGATCCATTATCATACGACACGAGAAGGCATGTTCCATGAATAAAGTTTTGTAAAAAACAAATTATAGCGTGTTCTCAGAAAATACGTAAATAGAGAAATAGAAAAAAATATACCTAACATCAATTTTAAGGCTCTTTCAATTTGGACGTTTTATCGGTTTCATGTCGTGCGGCTACCGGACGTTTACCGTGCCGTTGATTAGAAATTAAAAAAAATCGTGCGGCAATTGTACGACACAAAAGGTCAATATTGAAAAAGCTATTAGGCTACATCAAAGATGAAAGAGGCCATCTAAATAACTGGTTTGTAGCAGTAGAGAGGTAGTCAGCAAATCATTCTTTCGAACAATACAATAATTATCTTTTAATAAAACATGTGTCGTAATAAATTAATATCTACGCTTAATGTAGGTACACGTGAATCTGTTTGACTATGAAAACAAACAAAATCCCTGTTTACGAAAATGTTCCCCTACTATTTGCACTCGAGTTCTCTTTTACGACATTCTCATTGTTTACGGAGTTATTTTATTATGTTTTGATTGAATGATTAGAATATTAAATTATATCAACATTAAGTTCATAAATTAAGGTTTAGTTTTTGTAATTCATTGTGTCATTGCAACCTCTTAACTGTTTTTTTTTGTAGATGTTAGAATAAGGGAGCACTGACCAAACGATATTTTTTTTCCTTTTTTTTCAGAAGATAAAGACGAAATAGGTAATTGTCTTTGGGAACTTATGACGACAAACGCATTTAAAATGATGCAACGTACCGACTTGAACTTTATTTTAAATGAAGTATTGAATTAATATCGAGGAAAAAATATAACGATAGTTAGGGACGGGAAAATAAGATTGTGACTTTATTGTAGGTATTTTTCCGTCTGTACAAAATTAAAATTCCTACCACCCACTTACTTATCTAGCTACCTACTCACTTTATCGATTTTTGGATATTTATAATATTCATTGTTTTGAAATCAAAATACTTACCTAAATAAATTTCAGATAAAGACTATTGCTGATTCAAAGTGCAAATTAACTAAAATAACAAAATTTCATACTTTTCATAACATAATACCGATCACCGTAACCAAGCAGACGTTCTACCCGTTCGGCTGTTTCAAACAAAATGCTATGAATGTTCGAAAATGTTTTATCTCGCTTACGCAATGTCCTCGCTGTGAATCCCGTAGAATGCGCGATAAGGATAGCACGATAGTCTATTTGTGTCACACTTGTACACCGTTCCCAAGCCGATCGACGCAGCGCCGCGGGACGGTAACTAATCATTGAACAGAGTCGTGGCCGCGCTTGCCGCTTTCGCCATTTTGTTCTGAAACGTCGACGTGTTCACAAGTGTGGATGAAAATGTAAACTGTGAAAGTAAATTATTTTGGTCCATGTGATACTTTATAGTGATAACATACGGTGAATGTGTTATAAAAATAGTGTACGGAGTATCTGTTCTCAATGGGTAAATAAAAATTTCAATATTCTTCTATCTAATTTCCACGAAATTGTTCATTGAATTCATTCTTGTCGTTGCATTGGAACTGCGCGGACGTGCTTGTTGTAGGTATGGAAGTATTTTTGACAGTTTTTCTGTCATGTATTACTTATTTTTTATGATTGATTTGTCGTGCAAATATTGTTATTACAATCATTTAAAATATTTAAATTAAAGTAAAAAATATTTATTTATTTTGAAGAAATATAAATAAAACGAAACTGTAAATTTAATTTAAAGGTTTAATTTTCATTTAATTGAAAGATTATTTGAATATTAAAGAATTATTCAATTTACTGACGTGTAGTAAACGACTGTTACATTATTTTCGTAAGTAGGTATACCTAAATTATTGTAAAAACTAAGACAAGGAAAAAAGCAATATTTAATGAATTAAAGATTATTTTCGCTCGATAAGTTAATTTCACGGCATGTTTGAAATCGTGATAACAATAATAATATTTATTTGGAGGAAAGTTCTTCCTAGTCTATCTCTATGGTCTATTTTAGGGCTCGCATTCATTTCAAACAAGCTGCTCGCACTTGCATGACGTGTGTTAGGGAGCGGTGCGGTGCGGCGGCCGGCCGGCCGGGCGGTCGGTAGAGTGGTATTGTGGGCCCGAATTTATGCATGCACTATTATTGCATTATGAATGTTTAAGATTGTATTGATGTCATCAATAACTTATCTTCATATTTTTATATATATTCGATTTAACTTTGTAATTGCTACACAGTTATTTTTAATTTTATTTCTCTGGTCTGAAATGTATCTCTTTTATTTAATTATGTAATAAATAAACATAAAGCAATAAAAAAGTTAGGTAAATACAATCTATAATTAAAAATTGAGAATTATCATTCACTATATACTTTGATTTAGGATATTAAAAACCAGATAATGAATTATTAAGTGCCTACTGTTTTTCTTAGGTACTTACAAGTCTTGTAGTGTCAGTGGTTTATTCAAAGTTATTAGATTTTTAATTGTCTGTCTACTTATTTATCGTTCTATATTTTAATTTTATCATTAGTATTTTATTTTTTACTAAAAAGCCTAGAACAAGTTTCCGGAAAAAATGATGAAAATCTATTCGTGCAACTTAAGAGGCTTACGGTGATATTTTTTTTATTATATTTTGCAAGAACTTTATTGGAATATCAATTCTTCCTTTTTTATTTGGGTATGTTAACCTTCGGGCAACGTTGTGTTATGTTTTATTTTAGCGGCCCGTCTACCTGTAGGTAATCGGTGTTTCTGTGTAGTAACTGTACCAAGCACGCGTCTTTATTTTTACAGTCGAGCATCATAGAGTCACAACTACCCTTTATTTTATTACTAGCTTTTACCCGCGGCTTCGCTCGCGTCACAAAAGGATAAAAAGTAGTCTATGTGACATATACCAATACACACAGCGCCATCTATACCAATACTTTTGTTTTTCCTCGGGAATATCAATTTTTTCCGGGTTAGAAAGTACCCTATTATTTAATCTGGACTTCTAACTTTACGTCTACAAAATTTCAAAGCAATCGGTTGAGTAGTTACGGCGTGAAGGTGGAACAAACAAACAAACAAACAAACTCACTTTCAGATTTATAATATTAGTAAGGATTTAGCCCATTTTTTGTATTGATTTGACAGAAAAATCAAGTTTTTTAAAATTTAATATGTGTTATTTAAGTTTATTAGCGACTCAACCCGACATCACACGGGTACTTTTGTCAAATATTTATATCCCATTTGGTGCAGTCGTTCAAGAGAAATGCGCATGCATAGTTACATTTCTTCGTTTTCATTTATGTAATACTAGTAGTTACTATATAAAGTAAATAATAGTGTTTTTATATGAGCGGAAACTACATATCTATTAAAATTGACGTAATTTACACAATATGGTCAAAGTCAAAGCATTTATTTCAATTAAACCGTAGTTTGGTACTTTTGAAACGTCAACAAATACACATCAAATCAAATCACTTTTATTTGTACAAAATAAATAATAGTCTGTCAGTCAGTCCGTCAGTGAAACTAGGTGAAGCTAGGTGCTCATTCCAAAATGTAGATTCGAATGGAGAAGAACGAGCAAGAAACTCCATTCGTTAATCTTTTTAAAAAATTAATTTTTTTATAGAGAAAAAAATATGTCCAAAAATTATTTACACTCCAAATAAGTAATAACGCTACGTACTCTCTCTCTTCATTTCCCAATCACCAATTATTTGGCAATAATTTACAAAATATTGAATTGAATTGAACAAAATAAATAAATATGTATTGCGAAAATTCCCATTTTCCCATATGTGGAGATGGACATTTTATTCAGGACCTTTTTAACTTCAGATTGCGCGCCGGTGCCAATGTGCTTCCCGAATGCCTGGCACCGATAAACCGCACCGCAATAGGTGATCTTGTCTAGAATTCAGTAAGCCAAGCAGTATTTTTTAACAGTTATTTCCTCTCAAGCGATTTAACTCGTAAATGTTTCGGAGAGTTGTATTATATTTTTGCGAATGTCAACTGCGGCACCGGTGGGGGGTTGAGTAGTGGCAGCTGCTCAGAAAACATATAATAAAATATTTTTGTAGACATTTACTCTTGATAAAAACTCGTCTAATTCATAGTTAGAGGCAAAGCATAATATTCTGAAGAAAAGAAATCGTCAGCTGGTTAAAACGTGATGGACAATATGACAGCTGGACGCAAAAAACTGGAAAATACTGTGCCTTACTAAATAGGTACTACATTACATACTAAATACTGCAATAATTTTCAATCAAATTTTCAATAAAAATGAAGTTATTGAGGCGCACAATTTTTTCATATTTATTTGTACGATCAGTACAAATAAATATGAAAAGATTCGAGATACATACACTGTATTTTATTTATTTTTAACTTTATTTTTACCATCACTTTATTTATAGCTGGATGACGATTAACGGGTGTTTTTTTTATTACATATTTTCTATTAAATTATTTCGACGAGGTTATTTTTAAAAACTCACATAATAAGTAGTCGAGAATAATTAAAACTCAGGTGAACTAAAATAACACAAAGAATGGCTCGTTTTATGGATCAGTAGGTTAGGAACTTCTTAAAAGGTTCCTGGCAATCTGGTTCCTAAAATTTGGTGGCAACTTACCCCTTGCATGACACTAAGACCATATAACTGAGTCTAACAAGCTTACTAATATTACGGACAGCACAGTCGTTACAGCAAAAGGCGTTTACAATATATTAAAATCTAATAAAGCAATCTTGTAAAAAATTCATCGTGAAAGTTAGATAGTACCCCAGTGACGCCAGGACGCGCCACTAGTTTTGGTTTGAATAAAAATACGATTGTTTTTACTGTTTTAATTTATTATTTTTTGTTGACATCAGAACTGTGTGAACGAAAAGGAAGAACGGAACGTAATAGAACCGACCAATGAATGAAGGCACAATACAATTTGATATTTGACATTGAATGACCAAGTTGTGAACTGTCAAAATCGAAGTAAAGTTTTAGTTTGAAGAGTGAACATGTGTTTACTTTTATTTATTTGCTTCCAATAATACTGGAAATAATACATTTCTTATTTAAACATTTTAAAATCGCAATAAAAGTATGCATTATTTTATTAAACCTGCGAAACTGTTCAATTGGTTTCAGTTTTCGTTAGCAGTTTTAATTGGAAGAAATGAACCTCTTTCTGAAAGTTAAGTAATTTATAATATATTTTATTCATTATTCCTTAGTTTTATGAAGTAATCTTTAGTAAGTAATGTATATTTTCAATGTATAATTTATTACAATATTATAATTTTTGAATTGGGATGTTGCAACGAAGTCTTGATGATGTGGTAACAAGCTCCAAAAGTTAGAATTCAATTTTCGAAAGATTATTGATTTTCAATTATTGTATTTAAAAAACTAGGTATCTATTACTACTACTTATCTATTATTGCTACTAGTTAACCTGTTGAAATAATAACATCAACAGGTTAAATGTGTTTATTTAAAATTTGGATTAAGTTTGACAGTTGACTCAGTACCTACCTACCAAAGATAAGATGTGAAAAAATTTCGGTATGTGAAATAGCTTCACCTCCTGACTGATATCCTACATCCTACAATCCTAATCTTATACTATTATATAAAGCGGAAGTTTGTTTTTTTGTTTGTTTGAACGTGCTAATCTCCATAACGACAAGCCTGTTTTGAATTATTCTTTTTGTGTTGAATAGCGCATTTATCGAGGATATCTATAGGCCATAAAACATCACGCTACGACCAATAGGAGCTGAGCAGAGCGTGTGAAACAGTGAGAAAGTAGCTAGTATAAAATAGCCATAGCCATCCTCGATAAATGCGCTATCCAAGACAAAAAGAATTATCCAAATCAGACCTGTAGTTAGGGAGATTAGCGCGTTAAAACAAAAAACTTTTTATATAAGACTAGCTACTTTCGCGCGATTTTTCTCGTTCTACTCAGCGCCTATTGATGCTTGATGTGATGCTTTATAGCCTATATTATTATCCTTCTTCGATAACTGGACTATACACCACATATTATAATATTTGCTCAAATCAGACTAGTAGTTCCTGTGATGAGTGCATTCAAACAAACTAACTCTTCAGCTTTATATAAGTAATAGTAATAAGATTTGCGTATGATAATTTAACTCGTTGAGTACAGTCATTATAGACACAATTACAATAAGTTGCAGTTCAGTGACTGCTCGGTGTTTGACAGTTTAAGTTGTTTATATTATAGTTATTATTTTTATTTAGTTTATACTAGCTTTTACCCGTGACTTCGCTCGCGTCACAAAAGGAAAAAGTAGCTTATGTGACATATACCAATACATACATATAGCACCATCTATACCAATACTTTTGTTTTCCCTCGGGAATATCAAATTTTTCCGGGATAAAAAGTACCCTATTATTTAATCCGGACTTCTAACTTTACGTCTGCAAAAATTCAAAGCAATCGGTTTAGTAGTTATGGCGGGAAAGCGGAACAAACAAACAAACAAACAAACTCACTTTCCGATTTATAATATTATATAGTAAGGATTTTTTTTGAGCTGGTTAATGTAAACTAATATTAGTTGAGTGATATAATTAAAATATTCAAAAGGGAAGTAAACGGATGTGAGGTGGCTGGACAACCAGCTGTCATGTGTATGTGAACTTGTATGTTTGTAAACGCACCCACGATACAGGTGAAATTCCTAGTGTGGGTCAATGTTTAAAAAAAACAGTATAGGTACTCAACTCTCCCATAAAGTTACAATCAATACCATGAGTTTATATAAATGTATGCATACCACTACTACTGAGTTAACAAAGTCATTTATAGGTAAAGTCGAAAATATATGCAAATGGAAATTAAACAATATGAGGATAAACAGAAATATAAGCTTATAGAAATTAAAGGAAAAAGTAGTTGAAATTGTTGACATTTACATTACATGCATTTTTGCATTACATTACATTCAAATTGTTGACTACATTATTAAGGTGATAATACTTCTTGTTTAAATTACTTAACTAGCTTCTGCCCGCGACTTAATTACTGCCAAAATTAGTACCTACATTACGGGATACTAGACTAGACCGCCTATTGCGGTGCGGTTCATCAGTGCCAGGCATTCGGGAAGAACTGGCGCCGGCGCGCAAGGGCCATTCAAGTATTACGTAAGCACCATGGGGGGGGGGGGTTCCGTTTCGCTTATTTTGGATGATATGGGGGGTAGGGAAGTGTAGAAGTTGATTACGTACTTACTTTTGCTGACAAGGGGGATGGGGGGGTCGATCATTGTAAAAAATCTGCTTACGTAATATTTGAACGGCCCCCAATCAGAAGTTAGGAAGGTTCTGAATTCCTTTCTCCCACATGGGGGAAAATGGGAATTTTCGTCATACATTTACTTTGTCTTAACTCAATTCAATATTTTGCGAATTATTGCCAAATATAATTGGTGATTGGGAAATGAAGAGAAAAACAAAGGTTTGTACGTTTGTAGCATTATTATTGCAAGTGTAAATAATTTTCTGTCATAGGTTTTTTTATAGAGGTAGATGGCTTCACCCTTGTTCCCGTTGGATTAAAAGAAGCACAACATGGTATTTCAGACCATAATCTATCCTTATTCCAAATTTTAATCCCGATCCCTTCATCCGTTTTGTCGTGATTGAGTAATGAACATACACACAAACAAACACAAACTTTTTCATTTATAATATTAGTAAGAAGTATGATTTTAAATATTTTATAACTAGATTTTAGTGTTACATTGTTCTCGCACAATCCAAACAGCAAACTACGTAACTAGAGAATTGTATCGTGAACCTGATTGAAAAGAGTAACTTATGGAGTTTCTTGCTCGTTCTTCTCCATAGGAATCTACACCTTGGAATGAGCAAATAGCTTCACTTTTCTTATTGTTGACGTTCAAAAGTGCCTTTCTGGTCTAATTGAAATAAATGATTTTGACTTTGACTTTGAATATTTTAAATTATAGTACTAGTTCTTTATTATTACTAACTGTTTCCCATTAACTGTAAATCTAATCAGTGTAGATATTTCAGCAAACCTTCTTATGTGGACTATATGACTTATGTGGACTTACTAACTCCTCATTTAACCTCGTCTCACTAAGTACGGTTAGTACTGTAGTTTATTTTCAATCACATTTAATGTTCTGTGGAGAAAAGTATTAAGAGTTAATAGGTGCTGCCTATGGGACTCCCACATACAAAGGAGTTATGAGTGCATTGGCAGCCTTTTAGGGATTGAGGATCTGGAGACAGTGAGAGGATTGGGTCACCGGTAACCCCAGTCACACAGCATAAAGATCACAAGTGTTGTTTAACACTGGTTTCCTGAAAGGTCGTGGTTTTCCACCGGTTGAACCGGCCAATTCATACCGTTTTTTAACATTCTAGCTTTTACCTGCGGCTTCGCTCGCGTCACAAAAGGATAAAAAGTAGCCTATGTGACAGGTATACCGATGTACACAGCGCCACCTATACCAATACTTGGTTTTTCTCGAGAATATAAAATTTTTCCGGGATAAAAAGTACCATATTATTTAATCAGGACTTCTAACTTTACGTCTACAAAAAAACAAAGCAATCGGTTTAGCAGTTACGGCGTGAAAGCGGAACAAACAAACAAACAAACAAACTCACTTTCCGATTTATAATATTAGTAAGGGTTAGATCAGAATAAACATATTAGATCAGAATTTGCAATATCAATTTTATTTGCAGATGATCACAAGCTCAAAGGAAAAAAGGCTGTGCTTGAATTGGATCGGTTCAAACGACGTTTGATCCTTTCTGTGGGTCGTCTGTTGGTGCGTGACAAGAAACCGGAACAAGAAGTATGGGAAATTTTGAAGAGAGACACCGGCTGCAACTGCAAGCTGCTATGGTGGGTAAACATATTCTATAATGTGCTTTTTAATAACATGTCGACCTCTTTTGATGGAATATTAAGTAACATAACATCACGCCTTTTATCCTCGAAGGGGTAGGCAGAGGTGCACATTATACCACTGTACAATGTCACACCCACTTTTCACTATTTATGTTATGAGTCCCATGTAATAGGGGGTGAGCCTATTGCCATATACCGGGCACAGTTCCAGACTAGGTGCTACTACTGACAATTTAAAACCCATTAATACTTTGCCCGACCCGGGAATCGAACCCGAGACCCCTTGCCCGGCAGTCGCAATTGCGACCACTCGGCCAACGAGCCAGTCAACGAGGAATATTAAGTCTTAATTAAAATAACGGATTACTCAAGTGAAGTGTTTGAGAAAAGCTAGTGAACGCATGCGGTGATGCGTGCTGCTCATGAATATGACTCCCGTTGTGACTTGAAACTAATAGAGCTGTTAGGTCATAACTCATAACGTACATACGTGAACGGCACTGCTCCAACCCAGTTGAACTTTAAATCTTATGTCATATGTTTTTCTATGTCGCAATTTTCGAATTATTAATAAATTTATTATTTATTATTATTTATATGACATGACATACAGCAAAAACACCGTGCCGAAACCCTACCGTGTCCGGGCCGTTACTGTGTGCGATGCGTTTCTCAAACAGTTTACGTGAGGAAGCCATTAGTTTTAATTAATTTTGTATGACTCACGTTATCCACAAAAAATATTAAGCCTATGTCCAAGAGTGGATAGCTATAAGCTGACGATGACGATGAATTTCTTATATCCAGGTCGCGTATGCGAGCGTTGACATTGAAGAAGCTGGAGCGTCACTTGATAGCGGAGGATCATGTCGACCGCGTACCAAGCAGAGCCAGGATGAACATCATAGACTGGATGATGGTAGACCACGTGCTTGTCCATCAGGACCTCGACTTCATTGGACAGGTACACTTGTTTTTTTTTTTTTTTTTTATGCCATTGGGCGACAAACGGTACACCTAATGCTAAGCAATCAGAGGGCTTATAACGTTCGTTTTACGTTTACCTAGATCGAAACTGGACTGCACGGTTGGCGCGATGGCCGGGCAGCTGGGTGCCGCGCAACGTGTCGCGGGTTCGATTCCCGCACAGAACAACTCTTTGTGTGATTCACAGAATGTTGTTCCGGGTCTGGGTGTCATGTATAACTTGTATGTTTGTAAACGCACCCACGACACTGGAAGAAAAGCCTAGTGTGGGGTCAACGTTTTTACTAAAAAAACATACACTGAATTTTATTTTTGTTGTTGCACATAAGATGAAGATCTCAACGATTAAAATTTGTGTCGCGGGCCACATGAAAACAACCCTGATTTAATTAATCCAAGTGTGGGAGAGCCATGCTCCGGCAGGAATGAGCCAAGTCGACCGGAGTGATACCACGGCCTCACAGAAAACCGACGTGAAGCAACGCTTTCGTTGTGTTTCGTCGTGTGAGTGAGGTTACCGGAGGCCCAATTACCCTCCCCTTCCCCAATCTCCCCAATTCCTGAATTCCCAACGATCCTCAAACTCCTAATCCCCAAAAGGCCGGTGACGCACTTGTAATGCCTCTAGTGTTCCAGGTGACCATGGGCGACGCCGATTACTTACCGTCAGGTGATCCGTATGCTCGTTTACCGGCTTATGCCATAAAAAAAACAGTTTTTTATCGACGATCGGCATTAATGAAAAGATTGATTATTAAAATATTGATAAATATTGTTCCAGGAATTAAATTTACCTGAAAACTTTTCGGCTTTCGATGAGCTGTTCAGCCTCGTTAATATGTTCGAGATTGAAGGGCTAAAGGGTGAGGCCCTGGCTGAGGCGTGGTCATCAGCTACTCTGCATTATAATACCAAGTAAGTTCAGCTATTCTATTCCTTGCTCTTTGTTGATCACGGGTTATTAATGTTAATGGAAATATATTTAATGTGATAATGAAATGGGCGGGCACATAGCCCGCCAGGCACGATCAACTCGCCTGGTCGGAGGATCGACTCCTTTTGTGGTCGTCGTGGTGGCCCGGAGGTTTAAGACGCCCACTTCTCTTGCATGAGGGTGCGGGTTCGAAACCTACCAACGGCAAGTACCAATGTGACTTTTTCCGAGTTATATGTCCTTTCTAAGAATATCTAGACACCACTGACAAACGGTGAAGGAAAACATCGTGAGGAAACCTGGGCTTACAATTTATAATTATAAGTCTGTAATCGCCAACCCGCATTGAGCAAGCGTGGTGATTAATGCTTAAACCTTCTCCGTGTGAGAAGAGGCTTTGCTCAGCAGTGGGTATTTATAGGCTACTGATGATAATGATGATGATGATAATGAAATGAGTAAATAAATTAGATTCTATTCTTTTAAACCGACTTCAAAAAGAAAAAAGGAGTAATGTATGTTTGTGTACGATTATCTCACGATTGGCTTAACTGATTTTGATGCAGTTTTCAGAAAAGCGTTTGTTACACTTAGGAGAAGGTTTTACTGTATAAATTTACCGACTTCAAAAAAAGAAGGGGTTGAAGTCCGTTTTTTTAAACTTAATTTACCTATATAAAAAATTGTTATGTAATGTGTTAACCGGGTTTCATGTTGAAACTGTTGTACCCAATTATGTAACACCTATAGTACAAATGAATGTATGAAATAAAAAATTAAATTGGAACATCTGGAGCCTCTGGTCAACTTTGGTCACCACTTTTAGTGATATCCGACTGGGGCTGGGGATTAAGAGCAATAGCCCGGACTCGGAGCAGGAGTTCTCTAATATCGACATATAAACTAATTATTTACCCCCTATTACATGGGACTCATAACATAAATTGTGAAAAGTGGGTGTTACATTGTACAGTGGTATAATGTGCACCTCTGCCTACCCCTTCGGGAATAAAAGGCGTGATGTTATGTTTATGTAAAGCAACATTCCCAAGACGGGTGAAGTATTATTGCAGTTTTTGTAATTTGTACATACCAATAATAGGAACTCCCTATTATATGGGATTTTAAACATAATTGTAAGGGGGTAAGGGACATATACTATTGTGTGTAGATAAATCGTGCATAGAAATGCCCCTCTGTCTTCCCCTTTCAGAATAATTAGGAGGCATAAAGTTATGATAGTATTTACGGCTTAAGACATGTATTTTTCAAAAACAATTTACATTGACTTGACTGAGAAATACAAAATATACATAAGTAGGTACAGAATGCGAATCAGTGCCCGAAACAATATATCCGTATTTATGAACAACCAAAATATTACATTAGGTACATACTTAAAACATACACAATAAAATTACTTTGAGTAGTCGAGGGTAATCTTAAATATATTGGGTTGGTATTTCAACATACAAAACTAAATAGTCCTTTGTAATTAATTCCATGCCAGTGGCCACCAATGCTCCCCGTTGTTGCTGCAGAAGCGATGGTATCAGATCAAGGCCATCACGAGAAGTAAATTCTATAACTTCTGGTACGCCTACAAAGGGTGCATCAAGCGGTTGCACGTCGCTGATCCATACAAACCTACACCGTTGGAACATGCCATTGCTAGGAAGTAAGTTTTGTTTTAATTATTTGGTTTTCAACTTTATTGTTCTGACATAAATTCGAAAAAAAATTGCAATTTAGTCTTTAACACCTAAAGTCCAGTGTTGAAAATGCAATATTAGTAGGATGGGCCTATATCTTCGAGTATTAAATGGCGTTATATCCTTACTAATATTATAAATCTGAAAGTGAGTTTGTTTGTTTGTTTGTTCCACCTTCACGCCGTAACTACTCAATCGATTGCTTTGAATTTTTGCAGACGTAAAGTTAGAAGTCCGGATTAAATAATAGGGTACTTTTTAACCCAGAAAAAATTGATATTCCCGAGGAAAAACAAAAGTATTGGTATAGATGGCGCTGTGTGTATTGGTATATGTCACATAGTCTACTTTTTATTCTTTTGTGACGCGAGCGAAGCCGCGGGTAAAAGCTAGTTATTATATAAGTTACATTTGGTAATTCCCAGTATTAGCACGGTAAATGGCAATAGGCTAACCTTCTTTTACATGGGACTCATAACAAATAAAAAGTGGGTGTTACATTGTACAGTGGTGCCATATTGACAGGTGTGCCTATACCTTCAGGGATAAAAGGCTTGAGCTTTTGATGTTATGTTACATTTGATTGATAAAATATTCTTTGTTTTAGGTACAAAAGTTTGATAACAAGTCCACACCTTAGCTGGGAAGAGCTAATAGAGCAGAGATTAGTTACGTTACCTGACGAGTTTGTAAGTACTTTACTCATTTTTAGACATAACATCCTCGTGTTAAAAATTATTTAGAGACTTCTGACAAACGGTGAAGGAAAACGTCGTAAGGAAACCTAGGCTTGTAATTTCTAATTATTAGTTTGAAATCGCCAACCTGCATTGAGCAAGCGTGGTGGTTAATGCTGAATCTTTATCCGTGTGAGAATAGGCTTTAGCAGTGACCACGTATAGGCTGTTGATGATGATGATGATGATGATGATCCCTCGTGTCGTGCGTGCTTTTTCAAACACAAAAACGTGCGACTGCATGACCAATTACACCAGCCAACCAGCCAGTTAGCTACCGCGCAACGTGTCGCGGGTTCGACTTCTGCACGGAGCTGACGGGGCAACTCTTTGTGTTAACGTGTTTGTGTGTGACAATCTGTGGATGACCATAGATTGTTGTTCCGGGTCTTGGTGTCATGTGTATGTGAACTTGTATGTTTGTAAACGCACCCACGACACAGGAGAAAATGTCAGTGTGAGACAACGATTATTTTGTTTAAAAAAAAAACATTATTTCGCATAGACATCCAGTCCGATGTAATGATCACTCAGTTTCGTATCACCTTTCAACTTTTTATTGATGTTTTAAAAACTATTGATTTTATTTTTCAGGAAAGGAAAATGATGGAACGTGCAGGTTTTTCTATGCATTTGCGGAGGGCCTCGTATGACGGTGAGTATATACATAAATGATGACTGTACATTGCAATATTTAACGCAACTATAGACTATATAACTATAATTTACCGACTAGAACTACCTACTACTAGACTTTGAAGATAAAATAAAAACATACAAGTACTAAAGTTATTTAAATGTTAACATTTTATTTTCACTAAGGTTCCATACACTGAGTATAATTTTACATTGAAATGCTTCCTTGTATGAGTTACTTAAATCTGTCGAAAGTAACCATGTTAAAAATAACCAAATTTAAAATTCACAGACGCATCAGATTTAGTGCTGGTAGAACCTAAAATAGAAACAATAGACCTCAGACAGGAATCTGATGAGGCACGAGGTGAAAGTAAGAAGGAGGAAACCACCTTACCACGAATGGTAAGAGTTAAGCAAGAACCACTAGACCCTGACTTAGAGCCTGAACCTCGAGTGGAAGTACCAAAAAAATCAATATACGAAGAAGTCCTAGAATCAACGCTGAAAGAGAATCAAGTAATAGATGCAATGCTTACTAAAGGATACTTCGATGCTTACACTGAGAAAAGTGATGAGATAGAGGCAGTGGATTTAGAAGAAAAACAAGAAATGATGATGCCTCAAATAACTTGTGTTTTCAGTAATGTTAGTGAAGGTAATCTTGATATGTACAGTGGTACGGATAAGAATACTCTACCTACAGATGAAGACATTAATAAAGATATAGCTAAACTTGACGATACAGCTACAGTTACAACAGAAGGTGATGTTGAACCTGTCACAGTTGATAATGAAACTCCTACAGTTGATGTTGATGGTCAAGTTAAAACTGTTGAGGAAGAAAATGGTGTAATTCAACTTGATAAAAGTGACAAAGACTGTAATGTTCCCAAAGGTGACAATGTACCTGAAAAAGTTGATGATTTAACTGATAAACTTGATAAAGTACATGATTTAACTGATCAAGTTGATGATTTAACTGAAAAAGTTGATAAAGTAACTGATATAGTTAAAATTTACAGTAAAACTGTGACAGTACAAAACGACAACGATACAGTTGAATTTGATAAAGATAATCTTACTAGTACACCTATAAGTAACGACGAAACGAATGTACCAGAACTAGTTGAAGAAGAAAATACTCAAAACAAAAATAATAAAGTCTTTGAAGATCAAACAACAGATGTAGTAGCTCCAATAAGAAGTCACAATGAAACCATTAATAAGAACTCTATGCTCAAAACAATTCTAGATCAGACTGAAAAGGAAATTGAGAATGACGTAGAAGTTATAGAAGATGTAGGAAGTATGAAGCCTGTTGTAATTACTGATTCCGAAGACGAACCTCACAGTGATCCTATAGAAAAACCGATGGACACTACACTTGATGACAATCCAGAACATGCAATGGAAATAACTGAAGACACAACTGCTAAGGTTACAGAAGATGATGAAGCTATGAATGAAGAAGATAGTAAAGCTAATGTTAAAATTGATGCATTAAAGTTCTCGTTTGGAGAGCTTCCTCAGGAATTTAGTTTCGTTGATGATGGCATTGAGTTGGCTGATGATGGAATCGCGTTTGATGACTACGATGATCATATTGGTAAGTTATGTTAAATTTATTTTTTATGAGATCACTTACTATCATTGTATGCAATCGGCGATGCCTATGGACACCCGCAACACCAGAGTTACAAGTGCGTTGCTGGCCTTGTGCAAGTTCGGTATTAAAGAAGGGTTCAATGATAAACTTGCCATTTAATTTTTTTTTAATAGCAATTAGGGCTTTAACAAGTGAATATTTTTCTAAAATGGACTTTGATTTTATGTAAAATCATTAAAATTTTATTACAGAAATCAAAACTGAGCCTGAAACGGAAGAGCCGAAAATAGATCCAAAGCTACTGATGGTCCCCGTCGTGTACGTCACAAGGTTAGACGATTTAAATATATGTCGTAACGAACCTTTAGATCAGATCCGAAATAAAGATCTAATAGATGCTGTCATCATTAATAATCTACCAATCAAACAAGAAAAGATCTGTAAACAAGAAGTAGAAGACATAATCGAAGATACACCAATCACACCAGCTGATGATAATGTCGAAAGTATGTCTACTGATGAAGATTCCAATGATAGCGTGATACCGGAAAACGTAAAAGTCAAACCGACCAGCTATTTGTTACAGAAGCCACGCAGTCGCAGCTACAATCCTATACAACTTTGTAAAAACCCAGATTTCAATACACGATTAAAAAGATTGACCGTAGGATTCTTCAAATCACATCGTAACCGAGCACTAATCAAACATTGTAAACCCTTAACAATCGATATGTCTAAAGCATTCGAAACGAAACTTATTAACGGCACTTTATACCTCAAACCCGAGTCCACAGACGATAAGCTTGCAATTGAAATAACCGATGACTCAGAAATCGTTCAAAACGCTTCAGTAGTTCCCTCGGCTATGATCGCTCAAAGTCTTATAGACAATACGAAAACAACTGATATTTTACCCCTAATACGTGAAGTAGAAATGCCACCGAAACCTGCAGAACATGAGAGAAATACAAGAATTAATCTGCCAGACATATCAGAGATTCGTCGAATTAACCAACGTCTTCTCACTGCAGAAATAACACCAATACAAATACAAAATAAAACGTTCCAAGCACCCGTAACTCTTATCTCAAATGAGCCTGCTCGGAGTCCCGTTGTAACCAGTACTCCTACTGCAGACGTAACCGTGGTACACACAGCAGCGTCTGAAAATCTTTCGGGTCACATAATTAACTCGCTACCTGAATCAAGCACTCGCGGGCAGGTCGGTTTCCTAAGAGGTCATGGACGCGGGTCCTATAATGGTAGAAAAGTGACACAGCCAAAACCCAAGTCGAGAGCTTTTAAATCTTATACGGCAATAAGTTGGTTATCAAAGTCTAATGATCCAGTTCTCATTAGCAAGGAACAAGAAACCACACTCTTAACTCTGGATACCCTAAACAAAATGTTAAATATATTAGGTGACAAAGATTTACCGAACGAAACACAGAAGAAACAGAAGGGTGATAAAAATGAAAAGAAAATGGATAAAGGCAATCAGATGGCAAATAATGAAACACAAGCTGAAAATAAAATTGATACGGGTGTCTCTAAGCTCCGAATTAATGTCAGATCTGCGGAGAATGGCCCGCGTGCATTTAAACCAAGGAAGAAACGGGAACAAGATACAGCAGCCACAACGGATTCAACCAACGGACAGGCACAACCAAAAAAACGCCTGCACTGTTGCTGGAGTCGACAACGAATGTTACAGTTACTTTTTTCTAAGAAAAGCATACCGGAGCACGATTGCCACGAGGGTAATTGTATTTGCTGCTGTCGTCAGTTGTTGTGGTGTTATATAGCGCAAGAAAGGAGATTACAATCGGCACAAAAGCTTGCTTCAGCGTGTGCCGAAACGGCTAGTGCTTGTAAAAACCTTAATAAAGACGATTCCCGGAACGAAGACAAAATGGTAGGTCCAGCGGTAACTAAAGTTTCAGCTTCACAAGTTAATCTACCACTTGTTCCAAAAGTTACAATTGATGGTGGTGCTCAAACTGAGATTCGTCCTCATGTAAGTTCTGTAGGCTTGGGAAGTGATGTAAAGGCAACGACAGTCATGACAACTACACCAGTCGTACAAAATGTGTCAGCACCAGGGAATCCGACGATAACAGTACCGTTAGTTGATACTTTAGTTAGGCCAATGATTGAAGCACAACCACTATTTACATCAGATTTGAACTTGGCATCTGAAAGTATAAAAACATATACTAACTCATTTGTTAAGACATCCAATCAGCCAATACAAACAAAATCTGGTAAACCATTCAAACCACCGAAGTTTTTGAAAGAAAAGTTGATATTCCTAAACAGCAAGCATATTTCTGAAAAGCCTACAAAGAATCCAATATATTTAGGAAAGAATAAAGTATTGATGACCACAGTCAAATTTCCTTGGAACCTGAAATTATTTGAAGAAACTAAACAAGCTTTGGCACCTACATTGAAGTTGCCGGCCGGAGTAAGCTTAGTATGTCTACCTGACGGAACAGTATCATATAGCATAGATAATGTTCACGTAAAAGCATTAGATTTGGCATTAATGCCGTCTATTATAGCAACAGTACAAATGCACATGAACAATGCCCTACTGCAACAGCAATCGCAATCCGAACAAAATGTCCAGCCGACAGCTAAATCAAATGAAGTGATTGATCTAGTTGACGATGAAGATGAAGACCATAATAAAACAGAAAAGCAGCTTGACACAAATAATAGTACCGATACTAATGACATTGGAAATGTAATGAATTCGACTGAAACCACTTGTATTCAGGATAACGCACAAGTGATAAGTCAGGATGAAATGCTCGTATCAGAAGCACAATTGGTTCAAACTGATTTTAGCAGGACTGATGCATCACAATCGCAAGAAGAAACAATCGAAATGGAGTCGACCCTGTCTGATCCACCAAACTTTGCTTCAAAGTCTAAACTACAGCCCACGTTAATTTCCACAGAGGATCAAATTAAACTTGTTCCTACAAATCAGTCTGAAAGTATAGAAGCTGTAAAAGAATTACCAACACAGCCTGGACAACCTAAGGAAAATGAAGCTAAAGCCGAGAAAGAATTATTAGTAGAGCAACGTACAGTACAAGCTCAACCTGACCCTTCAAGTCAGGTGAAGAGTATAACAGTTACACAGGAATTCAATTCACCAACAAGTCCTGGACAACCAAATCAAACTCAAGTCCATGAAAGTATACCAACTGAAGTACAAACCCAGCCTGACGTACTAATCCAAAAACTACCAACAGAGAACACTGTAAATCTTGAACAGAGCACACATCGACCGAAGAAAACTAAAAACATACTTTCGGACTTGATGGAAATGTCTGGTATATTTGATGACGATGTGGCACCAGCTCCTCAAGAAACGTTGCCTATACCTGCTCAGCAAGAAACGTTGCCTGTACCTGCTCAACAAGAAACGTTGCCTACACCTGCACCTCCACCTCTATCTATACTTTCGCAAATGGTTGGATCTGTAGCACAACCTGTCATCCAACCGGCGGCAAAGCTGCAGGGCACAATACTGGGTCCCATACCCAATAATTATCTTTCTTGCCAACCTCTTATAAAAACACCCCTTGGAGATCTCTCCCCAATTACGTCGCTCTATGAACTAAAGTACGCTTGTGCGAATAAAGGAATATTCTTTAAATTAGATTTTGATACAGGATATCTCGTTCCCATTAACGTTTGTCTAAAAGCACCTGTGAAACAACAAACTAAAGTGGTTACTGAAAAGGCAGTAATCGATCTAACGAGCGAAGGACAATCGAATCAACCGCAACCAAACCACAAGAGAAACATATCGTTGCTTTCACCCAGAAAAGGGTTACTTACACCTGCAACTGTTACATCGGAACCTACCGAGGCGGGACCTAGTGTAGTTAAACCTTGTTCATTGATGAAAGTCAAAATTCCTTCCATATTACGTCGGTTAAATGCAGATTATAAATGTCAAGAAAATATTAACACATGGATTAAGGAGCGTGGTCACAAGGTTCACAAGCAGAAACGGAAACAGCTTTTGCAACAGTACGACTTGAATGACACCGGATATAATATTGTTCTACCTTCGTCTAAGAAGGCCACTAAGAGACACAAAAGTACCGACTCCCAGGAGCCGACTGCGTCAACGTCCCGTATCCAGAAAGATGATGTAACCACTCTATACGATTCCTCAGATGACGAACCTTTATCTAAAGTAGCTAAATTAAAAAGAGAAGAGGAGAATAAGCGAACAACACGAATTGTAATCGATTTGCCAACAGTGGAACAGGAGGAACAGCTAGATGATAATATGGATGGTAATATACATGAAAATATACCGGAATTCGACCAAAGTCATAGTTCTGATGACGATGAAGAAAATTGTATATTAGGAGTTTGAATATTCTATTTCGACTGGATAAGATCTGTACTGTAATACAATTTAAATTCTGAGGCTTTTTAGAATTAACTTATTAATTGTACCACACGATGATAGTATCCATATTTCTTCAAATATTACTCACAACATCTTTTACTAGAAACTTTTCATCGGTAACTTTAGCAGCGCCGTTGTAATAGGGAGCGAATCCATTGCCAAGTCGTGAGTGTGTTTAAAAGTGAGTTTTAAGTTAAATAATTATTTTATAAGTTTCGTGGCTGACCAGTATGTGTATGACATGACTGTAGTTTTAATACCTCTAACGTTACCTGTCAAATCTCAGTAGGTACGTGTTTAAATGATAATTTAACAAAGAGTTGTAAATATCTTATTCATAGGACGTATTTTTAGATTTCATTTGTTTAAGTAGTAGAACGTATGGTATATTATGAAAATGTATAATGCCTGGCACGAATTATGGCAAGATTTGTAGATAGCACATTTTGTATTTTTGTTTTCTTATTATTGGTCATGTTAACTTTCAAAATTAATTCCTTTGCCTATTCTAAAGTTAACTTTCATTCATACATTCTTTTATAAACATAGTTATATGAAAAATCATTTAGTTATGTAGGTAACGAGAAATAATGACACAATGCGTCCCCCATAACAAGAAATCTAATCATGATTCGTACCGGTGATTATATGTTGATACAGTATTGTATTGTATAGTAAAACTAAGTGTATCAATTACAAAAAAACAATCCATTGCGATCGAATCCCGTGGATTATAACTGTGATATTATTTAAGGATTTTAAAATATTACGGGGATGTTTTTCAAATCTAATAGATAAGATAGGTCTAGAATTTGTGGGATTCCCATTTTTTTGTGTAATTGGTGTTGGGAATACTTGAGAAGATTAGAAATTTTAATTTAATTCAGATAACATACTCTGTATTTCTAGCCATTTAGCATTAGGATATGGCTTGATCCATAATCGTATTATTTTATTTCATGACAATTAAGTTCATCACAACAACCAGTATCACAACCTTGCATCTTAATTTGCACATCCAATGTGTGATCCACAAATTGTTGTTTCGGGTCTGGGTGTCATTGTGAAAGTGAACTTGTATGTTTGTAAACGCACCCACGACACAGGAGAAAATCCTAGTGTGGGAAACGTTTTTTCTAAAAAATAGAAAAAAAAACAATCTTGTTTTTATTTTCTTCTTCAAACTTTGGCCCACTAGGACTTTCTTCTGTGTCGTGGATTTATGCAACTGCCTTCAAACCAACCAACTTTACGCCAACTGTCTTTAAAGGGATATAATGGATGTTTCGTTTTTTAATTGCAAATTGTGTGCATGTCATTTAATTAATAGATACATCATTTTTATATAATTAGCAAGTGTCAATCTCTGTACTTATATTCATTTCTTAATTTGCTCATTATTTGAGAATAATGTTAATAGGCGTTATATTCAGTTCCTTTTTTTTAAACTTGACATTTAAGAATTTTGATAAAATAGAGCAAAGTCATTTTACCAGTAAGAAACAAAATACAGTGGTATTGTGGTATTTTGTTTCTTTGTGCTAATAAGTAAACAAAATACAGTGGTATTTTGTTTCTTTGGCTAGCGAGATATGCTGCCTACTACATTCCATATACCTACCTTCTTATTTATATTCTGTTCATTCTAATTAAGCATGTAGATTGTTGATAATATTTTTATTTGTGGATATTTGGATTAATGCCGAAATAAAATTATGTGTTAAAAATACTTAGGTACTTATAGAAAAAATATTCTTTCATCGACTTGATTACAGATATTATGTTTTCATGATGTAATATTATGACTGTATATTTTTATTAGTTGTATTTTATTCTTATTTCGGTAGTTTTTATATCTAACTCATCGTGTTTTCTAATTGTAAGAAATGTGATGTTCAACCTCTTTTGTTACTGTATATTAAGTTCTTATATTTAAGTACCTAGTAAAATCAGCAAATTATAGTGTGTCTATATAAATATTGGTTGAACATCCTTTGGACTTAAATCAGACTGGCAGGCCGGCTGGTTTATTTGGAAACAAGTGTGACTTAGTGTTAATATTATTAAAGAATTTTAAACACTACTAAAGTATCTATTTTCTTTCTTAAACATGTTAAAACCTAAAGGCCCAATCAGCCTTTCCCCCAAATCCGGCAACGCAGTTCTCGGGTGCTGCTAGTGCCCATGAGCAGCGCTGATTGCTTACCGTCAGCTTATCCGTCTGCTCAATTGCAATGGAATAGGGTTCCATGAAAAGATACGACACGTATCTGGATAGATGATCAATTCCGCAATGCTTACCCGAGGATAATATTGACTTTTGGAAAGAGAATTACCATCATAATCTATTCAAATAAATTTACTTGTAAGTACAAAACTTTTCCATTCTCTTATTGCACATCGGCTTTTAGTAGAGATAATTTTATGTGATAAAATTAGTCATTTACTTGACTGCCTCCTTGGCCGAGTGGTCGCAAGTGCGACTGCCAGGCAAGGGGTCTCGGGTTCGATTCCCGGGTCGGGCAAAGTATTACTGGGTTTTAAAAAAAATCTCAGTAGTAGCACGGAGTCTGGAATGGTGTCCGGTATATGGCAATAGGCTCACCCCCTATTACATTGGACTCATAACATAAATAGTGAAAAGTGGGTGTTATATTATACAGTGGCATAATGTGCACCTCTGCCTACCCCTTCGGAGATAAAAGGCGTGATGTTATGTTATGTAAAATTAGTCATTTATTGCCTACTAAAACTTATAATCTTTAGATTACTCGAGGGGAGCCCTCGACTAGTTACAGGCTCATATTCATGAGCAGATACGCTACTTGATCGTTTGTTATTTTCCAAACGTACTGTATTTATGATTAACGGGGTATGTTAGTTATAAACCACAGTCAATAGGGTAGATGCCTAATTTTTATTTTAAATCATTTGACACGTATTTTTTATTTTCTTAAGAGAAACGAATACTTTCGACGACATTGATTTGAAATGTCGCGCGACGTCACTTCTGTGTACATTTTATACGTAGAAATGACGTTTTAGCCCCCACTCCTAAACTTTGATTAGTTTTATCTAAGTATTGGTTTATTATTCGACAAAATAGAAAAATACGTGTCTTATATTTTTTCATTACCTAACTTACGGACTAATTAGATTTTTAATTTTCATACCCTGTCATTATCCCAATTGTTAGTCACAAAAAAAGTCACATAAAATTCAACATACTATATTATAATTAGTAAATAACATTAATTTATCTAATAACTACTCCGTAAGCGTCAACCACGGCTTTCTCAATCTCCTTGTGAACCTGGTTGACTTCGGCTTGGGTGAGGGTTCGTTCCAAATGCCTGTATACAATACTGTAGCACATACTGTGCTTCTTCGACTTCGGATGAACGAATTTGTCTTTGAGTTTTACCTGAAAAAAGATATTTTTGATTAATTAATAATCTAAATTCGGAATTAGGTATATTTTTTACATCTCAGAAAAAAGTCCCAAATTCACAGATATAATATCTAGTAGTTTGAATAGTTGTAAGCGCAACTTCTAAGTGGTTTCAGGTTTCGAATGTATTACTTATTATTTTTCGTTTTTTGCCAGATCTTGAAATCTTATTAGCACAAGTGATGAGGATTTAGAAGAGAGGTCATAACATAACTAACAAAGAAGGTTTATTATGTGTACCTCAGTGCCTCTGTTTCTTGAGGGATCAAGAAATAAAAGAAATGTATATAATAACCGAATCCCTAAGATCTTTAACATCAGATAAACACTTAACAAACCTGTTCAATAATATCGCCACCAATATCTCTGACTAGATCATAGAAATCATTGCTTATGAACGTGTCAATAGTGTACGTGGGAGGCAACCAGAAGGACATGTCATTCGTACATTGTGGATACGAAGATACAGGCTTATATGTGATACTAGCATTCAAGTCCACATTCTCAAACTGTGTCAAAAACCCAGAATCCGTACTCCACATTAATCTTATGTCTGGAATCTTGTACAATGCCATTGCTAATCTTTCCAGTCCAAGTCCGAAGGCATATGCAATAGTGTTTGATGGTCCTGCGTTAACTAAAATCTCATTTCTTACTATGCCACAGCCTAAGACCTCCATCCAATCATTTTCGTAGAATATTTCAAGCTCCCATGATGGATGGGTGAAAGGAAAGTATGCGTCAACCCATCGGTACTTAATATCGTCGCCAAACAGAGCCTGTGTTAGACCGATAAGGTGCGTTTTCAATTGTGTCTCCATTAATTTTGTGGCTTCTAGAGTATGGCAGCTTTGTTTCATTGGGTCATTTATGTGGTTGGTGTGTGGGTTTGTTTTATCAAATGTTGGCTCAAATATTTGTAATTCTGGTTTGTCTGGGAACAACTCTTCTTTACGTTGTGAACGCACTGCGTCTACCTGAAATAAAGATTTTGGCTTTAAAACTACTAAGACTCAACTATAACAGATTTCATTTTATAATAGACATCTATTCTGGAAGTTAAATAAAAAAGTTGTCTCAATAAAAAAAAATATTGAAATGTAATGTATTAATTCATTGTCAATCCTGTTAAAGAGAGTATAATAAGTATTTAGCCTGATTATTACAAGGTCAAGTCGTGCACCCTACCTGATGGAACACAGGAAAATGTGTTGAATCAATTTCATCCCTCCGATACACATCTCCTATCATCAGGAAGTTGTCCAGTCCAGAGCGGAGCAGCTCACTTTGATGTGCAGTCATATGAGCCCTCAGGAGAGTGTCTCTGTTTATATAATAACAGTCGGACTTCGCCCTACTCGGATGATCAGCCGGAATCAACAAATCTTCAAAGTTTTGCTTTGTAGTCACTATTGGCGGTAAGTTGTCGTAAACGCTGAATGCTGGGTGACCTCTGTGAGTAAATGAAGAGTAAAAATAATTTACAATTCTCTGCCGGACTATCGATAGAGGGTTATTTTTCTGCAAGTGCAGGTTCTTGTCCAAATACGATATTATTTTAGGCGTAACATTTGTATAATCGTCGGCCACGAATTCTTTCCCTTTTATTTGCACGGACGCTACAGATTTGGCTGCAGTGCTAAATTTATATTTTGATAAAACAGCGGAAATTATCCGGTTTGTTTTTATTAATATTCTCGTCATTATTGCCGTTTAATTCTTTCAGGAAATAACTGAAACTACTAATATTAGACTTGCGATTACAATCGGTAATAGTGAATTATTTATTCCGCGTATTTATTCTTTTTCTGAAGAAAATTAAAATTATTTTCATTATTTTTTGTTCACGTTCCTCATTACGTTCCAGTACCACTATTTAAAAAACTACTACATAAATAAAGCTAAAATTCGTGCGATCTCCCTTTTTTCCACAAAGTTAAAAAAGGATAGGACATGTAGAAGAATTCTTTTCCATCGACAGCAGTATTTGGGTTCGGAACGCAGCAAATGACAATCAGTGTGGCGTTTGTGAAGTTTGATTTGGAAAATATCGAAATTTTGACGTTTTATGAATAAATAAATAAGAAACTGAAAACTAATTAGGACAATATTGAGTAAACAATATTTTTTAGCTAATCGTTCATACAATTTTATCAAGTAGTTTGAAAATAAATTGAAATTGATTTAAAATGTATTGTAAAAAGAAAAATAATTCAGCTGTTTTCATAGTTCCTATCCTAACTTCATATCATGTCATGTCAATGTCAATGTTACTTTCTTACTTAGGTACATAACCTAAAATAATTTCATCTGGTAACTGGTTGGTTTCTGATTACGTCCTTTGAAAAGCAAGAATTTGAATAATACTGACACAAATAAGTATTTAAAAAGTATTAAATCTCAATAATTAATGGTTGGCACCCTATACACAATATGTTTCGTAGCCGGCTTTTGCAAATCGCGCAGTTAAGCGCTGTTGGACTGACGGGATTTTACTTAGGACAAAATAAAGATCAATTTAGTATTTTCTACAATGACGATACGATTATTATTGATGGGAAACGGTTAAGGAGTATGCCTGGGCTTCCTGTCTTCGGTACGGTGTCGGCTGCAACTCCATATACAGATTCTGCTGGCAGCAGTAAAGATCGGGTAAGATTTGTGACGATCTGTAAACTGTAGCGTTTGGCTAGTGGGCTTTTAAATGTTTCAATAAATTTCGAAACTAAATAAGTAGCAGTAGTTGAGTGTGGGAGAGCCATGCTTCGGCACGAATGGGCCGGCTCGACCGGAGTGATACCACGGCCTCACAGAAAACCGACTTGAAGCAACGCCTGCGTTGTGTTTCGTCGTGTGAGTGAGGTTACCGGAGACCCAATTACCCTCCCTTTCCCCAATTCCTGAATCTCCAACAATAGTTACACACTTGTAACGCCTCTGGTGTTCCAGGTGTCCATGGGCGACGGCAATTGCTTACCATCAGGTGATCCATCTGTTCGTTAACTGGCTTATGCCATAAAAAATACATCCATTATTACTTATATTACAAGCAAATTGCAAACAAATCGCTACCACTACCAACCAACATGAAGAGAAAATGTTAGCATAATAATATAATACATCCTTTCAGTCACAGCTAAAGCACTATTAAAATATTCCAGGTATCACAAATAATGAAGTTTGGCTTTCCTAGTCTGGACAACATCAGATCGTATGACGACTTCATCTTGTCTTATGATCGTAGAAACCGAGTACCAAACTGGGTGTTTGAGCACATTACCGCAGAGCACATAGCTAAGAATGACCAGGTGGACAGAAGTAAATGTGAATTCCGACCTGATGAGAGTATACATCCATTCTTCAGGTAATTGGTTTTACAATATTAAAATATAACTCATTTTGTGTCATATGTAAACACAGTGTCATATGTAACACTCACTTTTCACCATCGTCGAGTGAGTCTATTGCTACTTCACAGGTACAATTCGAAACTCCTTACTATTACTGAGATTTTTTTTTAAATCTAAAATAAAGTAATACTTTGCTTAAACTGGGATTAAAACTGACTCTTTCGTCTGATGATTTGACCAACAAAGTCATTTTAAACACAAATGTCATTAGTACCTCATTTCATTAATTCACCAAGTTATGTGGAAACTATCGTTTTATTCTTCTTCTCATATAATATCTTCTGATTTATTTTGTGGCGGGATCCAAGACAGTTATTCACGTCCCTGGGACGCACCTACTGTCGATCCTGACTACTAAATGAGTTGCAACAGTTTCGAGAGGTTGTGGCTGGCATGCCCCAATGAAAGTAAAAGTACTGCATTTCATATTCTATGTGCTATTGCTATCATCAAACTTGCAAAATGATATACAACAATACCTACCTAATGCTTATTTTCAGATCTCAGAACTCAGATTATAAAGGCTCCGGGTTTGACCGCGGTCATATGGCGGCCGCCGGCAACCACAGGCTCTCACAGAAACATGTCGACCAAACATTCTTCCTCACTAATATGGCACCACAGGTATAATACAAATCTAATAAACAGATATACAGTGCCATATTATATTAGTCTGTGTAAAATTAGTATAAAAATTTGTTACATGAGAAAGATTAGATTTTAAACTCTATTGTAAAAGGATGAGGTTGAAAACCTATTAATGAATTTCACAACTAAAATTTGAAAATAAATTAATTAAGATAAATGATAAAGTTCAAAATCTATTAACAATAATATGTTAATTGATTTTGAACTTTATTAACTACAGAAAATGGGTTGGTAACTCACCAAAATCGATTAACATGTCTATGTAAATCCATTTCTATGGTCAATCCCTACATTATATTTTCTTTCAATCCCTACATACAACAATACAGCATGCTCCTTTCTTTGTAGGTAGGAGAAGGCTTCAACAGGCATGCATGGAATACTTTGGAGAGACATGTGCGCAAACTGACCAGAGTCTACAGCAATGTGTATTGTTGCACGGGACCACTGTATCTGCCTAGGTAACTTTTTAATATTAATTCATAAGGCCGGCAATGCACTTGTAATTTCTCTAGCGTCATTCATCACACAACACTAAATATAGTTCTGTGGCGGATACAAACCCGAAACATGTTGCATAGCAGTCAGTACAAAGTTAATCATCTGTTAAATTGTACCAAGCCTGATTTATACAGGAGATTTACTAGACAAAAACAATAAAAAATTCTTAATACATATTTTCAGGAGAGAGTCGGATGGTAAATCATATATTCGTTATCAAGTGATTGGTGCCAACACAGTGGCTGTGCCCACCCACTTCTATAAGGTGGTAGTAGGGGAGAGCAAGGATGGTACTTTAGACATGGAAGCTTACGTCATGCCCAACCAGAAGATTCCTGATGAGACACCCGTGTCTGCTTTCATGGTAAGTTTCAAAGTTGCATGAATGTGATGGAAGCTAGTGTGTTAGAAGCGTAGTAGGTAGAGCTTTGTCGCGGTGTATGTGTTAGTTATTCTCATGCAAAAACTACTGCACCGATTTTGATTGTTTGGTACAGAGATAGATCATAGTCTGGAATCTGGAATAACACAGTGTGAATGGAGACCCATGCTTCGGCACGAAGGGGCCGGTTGTGATACCACGGCCTCACAAAAAACCGACGTAGAACAACGTTTGCGTTGTGTTTCATTGTGTGTGTGGGGCTACCGTAGGCCCAACTCCAATTTAAATACATGTTACATGCCAATTATTATGTTTTCGGCTTACTCACGCAATAATTTGACGAGGAACTCGACTAGTTTCAAGCCATGCTAGAGGCTTATATTCATGAGAACATAATAATTTATTTAGTATCACGAAAGTTATAATACAAATATGTTACATGTCATGTAATAATAATAATGTATCTTTCGTAGCGACGTAGAAGTGCATTGAAGATAATCGAATGTTTTTTAGCGTGTAAAATTATTTTAGAAATATTTCAAAGTCAACCCGCGCGGTCATGTGATGTTACCAATTGATGTGATGTTTCCTAAGTTAAAAACTAATTTGTTTCAACTTTTCAATGCAATAAATAATTAAAAAATAATCATACTCTCTCATCCATTTATTTGACAATTTACCTATTTTTTCTCGCTATATTTAAGGAAATAAGTATGCTATTTGACGCAGAAATATGATGACGTCATAAGGCAATACAAAATTCACAGAAAAGTATCGTTTTTAACATTTCAATAAAAGTACTTATTGAATTTGACTACCTGTCAACTACTAGTATTCAGTACTTTTAAAAATAATGTATCTTTTGTTTTGTCGCAGGTGCCACCAGAGTCAATCGAGAAAGCCGCAGGTCTCTTGTTCTTTGACAAGATTCATAGAAGTAAACTCAACAAAATAAATGGCAAAAAGGTATAAAATATACCTCCGTATTAGTAAATATTAGTTCCTATATTTTTATATTATATACAGGCCTTGGTAGTCCACTGATGAACTAGGGCCCTAACAAAAGACGGATTTGCCATAGACTGCATGCTTGGCAGGCGGATTGGAGGTCACTGTATAAAAGGACCAGGTTTATAAGAGAATGCTGCAGCCTGGCCTCTGTTAAAATGAAATATGTAATCCCTTAGCTGATACCATACCCCAAGAAGAGTAATGGTGGTCGGAGATGTTTCTAGTCTGCTGTCACACGGTGGAAATTTTTATATTAATTTTAAATGAATTTTAGATCTATTGTATTGAGAGTAGTTTGTGTATATAAGTTCTAGTCTTTATGCTATATCATTATGTGAATAAATGTTATATTATTGTTTTGATATGGTGTTTCAATTATTTTTGTTAGAATATGAGCTAAACTGACTTTTATAGATGCGCAAGTTTCAAGTACCTACGACTGCAGAGTTAAGGGTTCTCGGGTTCAATTTCCTAGCCAAAAAATATTATTAAGATTTTGTATTCGAACCTGCTGTAATTAGTTTCTGCATGAGTACTAATATAACAGAATATTTCTAAGGGTGTTACTACACCTATCGATCGTTGGTCGACGTTGATCGGGCGGGCAGCAAGTAACAGGGAGCTCAAGCAGCTCTATTGAGGTCGAGTTATCCATTCATCCATCATCGTAAGGGAAATATGAAAACCAAGCAATATGTATAAAACGTGTGTATATTATTTAGTAACATGGCAGTACTGCCATTATTATAGTATATAGAGTTGACATATAGTTGGACCTAATCATCGTCTTCATCTGACGCTCCGTTCTGCTGCGGCTCATCATCCATACGTACGTCGCCCATACCTGGAATTGTCAATTATTAATAGGGTAGACGACTAATTTTTATTTTAATGTCCGTCTGGTAGATTATTTAAAAACATTAGACACGTATTTTTTATTTTCTTACGGAAACGGATAGTTTCGAAGATATATTGCTTTGAAATGTCGCGTGACGTCACTTCTCAGTACATCTATCTATACTTATAATAAATCTGTAGAGAGGTCAATTCTGTACATAAAATATATTTAAAAAATAACTATCAAGGGGTGGTTAGAGATCGCTACTGATGCCAAAAATGCAATCAGTAAAATTTTTGTCTGTCTGTCTGTCTGTATGTTCGTTATGGAAACAAAAACTACTCGACGGATTTTAACGAAATTTGGCACAATTATTCTTCATACTTCTGGGCAGGTTATAGTATACTTTTCATTACGGGCAAGGGGTCTCGGGTACGATTCCCGGGTAGGGCAAAGTATTATATGCCCGGTATATGGCAATAGGCTCACCCCCTATTACATGGGACTTATAATTAGTGAAAAGTGGGTGTTACTGCTGTGTGCACCTCTGCCTACCCCTTCAGGGATAAAAGGCGTGATGTTATGCTAGTCCGGGTTCAGTATGTAGTCCGAAAGTAGCCAATTAATTGACAATTTTAGAGATTTAATTAGTTCCACGGAGATTCTAATTCTATCAAGAATCGATTTGTCTTAATCCAAAATCTATGGATTGAGACAACATGAAATGTCGAACTATCGATCGGAATATTAGAGTGCACTGTGTTTGAGCACATACTTGTGTTTTGCCCTATAATATCTCCTGCATAGTCGATTGGTCTAGTTCAGACAGACTGGTTTACTACCTTTACCGTAATGGGTCGGGATGCGTTATATTTATTAAGATAAGTAGAAGTACAATCTTACCCTGGTCCTCGTCCTCCTCGGCGGAGTCTCCAGCGACCTCTGCGTTCTCGGCCTCGGCGCGCTCCATCTGCCGCGCGAGCTCGGCCTCGTCTGTCGCCGTCACCACCTTAGGCTGTTGCACGAATTTTTTATTTTAAAAAAGACGAAGTCAGCGGTAGTTATAATAGTGCTGAGTTGGGAAGACTGACTATGGATCTTCTCCAAGGAGTCACCAGTGACCATTCTCCACTTACTCCATTATAGAACTTATTTCTAATGCTAAGAGACTGGTTTTGTATAAACAAAGGTTGAGGATTTTTCATAATCGGGGATTAAGAAGTTGATCAGGTTCATACCAAGGATGTTAAAAAAACTTGAAACAACGACTGTAGCACCTGGTTACAATAGAGTTACACGGGCCATGTCGAACATTTACACTTTTACACAAAGGACATCTGTCATGGTAATGTGGTAACTCATTGCACACACAAACAAAATGTTATGTCCATCTTTTTTTCAACATCCTTGGTTCATAAATTACTTTTGTGGTCGCTCAATAATAGAATTTAATGATGTTTAAATAAGGTCCATCTTTAAACAATCAATGCTCTATGTGTCATCAGTTAGATTCAAGTTTACTTACCGCCATTTGCACATTGAAGACACCGCCAGCAGCGTCAATAGTTTCTTTAATTTTGTCGATGGCGTCCTGCAGCGCTTTGAGACCGTCCGCCTTCTCCGGCGTTGATGTGGTCATTACTGGAATATAATAATTTTATTGTTATTTCATTACGACCTACAATTATTGTTAGAAATTATGATAGTAGGTCTTTGAGACTACAATGAAACAGCTTTTTGTTTTACATTTTAAACCGAGTTATTAAATAGGTAGTTTCGAAAGGTCTGACAATGAAACCTAGGTACATAATTATGTTTACTGTTTGAAATTCAAAACTGGGCTTTTGGTGTAATCAAAATAAATTATTGACTGTCCTACAGCTTGAATAGTTTACAAAACACTCCCATAACACGATTTACCACACGAAAAACACTTATTCAAGTCTGATTACACTTAGCCCTAAGTTTAAAAGCAAAAATATTGCTAAAACTCACCATACAAAGGTGGAGCAATAAGATTGATCTTGATGGGTAGGTCCACGGTGGACAGCGCTAGTCCAGCCTTCAACGCAGCACGTACAGCGTCAATGCCTTCGTAACCATAGCACGCACACTCAATGTCCGCGCGGATCTTCACCGCTTGTGACGTCAGCTTCCTCTTGATGTTGGCTAGAAGGACTTCCTTTGTCTTCTCATCAAGACCACACTCGTTTAATACTGAGGGGTCACTGTAAATATTAAATATTTGCAAAGTTCATACTTATTATCCATCACACGCCTTTTATCCCCGGCGGTGAACATTACGGCAGTTAATGCCACTGTACAATGTAACACCCACTTTTCACTATTTAAGTTATGTGGCCCATGTAACAGGGGGTGAGCCTATTGCCATATACCAAGCCAAATTCCAGACTCCGTGCTACTACTGATAATTTTTTTAATAAACCCAGTAATCTTTGCTTGACCTGGGAATCCATCCCAAGACCCCTTGCTTGGCAGTTGCACTTGCGATCACTTGGCCAATGAGTCAGTTATCATCATGATTATAAGTAAGATATAAAAATTATAATGTATTGTCTATTCATTAGTGCTAAAAACTACATTAAAATACTATTAATAATTTGATTCTATTCTATCTGTCTGTACTGACCTACTTATACAGTGTGTTTTTTGTTGTTTAGCTAAGTAGTCACATCAATTAAGTTAATTTCAAGTACAAAACTCAAAGAAATAAAAGTTCAGACTACAAAAAGAAAGTACACATCAGTTGTCACGACTGCATGCATGATTAAGTACATTATAATAATATAGTAGTAAAATAAATTTTTATATTAGAACTTTTGTGAGACATACTAAATTAATTATTATGTTTTAGGTTGCGGAATTCTGCTCATGAATATGAGCCTCTAGCATGGCTTGAAACTACTCACGAATTTGCTCCTTGCCAAATAATTATATGAGTACGCCAAAAAACATAATAATAAATTTATTATTATCGTTTTGTAAAAAAAGGGCATACACATACAGAAGTAAATAAAGATTTAAGAATAGCTCTAGAAATAGTTATAAATTTCAGCTGACATTAAATTTTGTAACATTTTAAATTGCTGCGCCCTAACAGGGTAATGTACTGAATTAGTTTTATGTAATACTTCTTATTATATGTACATTGTGCAATATAAATAAATAAATAAAACTGAAGTCTATACATACACGGCAGCCTGTTTGAAGAAATCATAAGCGGAGGCTTTCTTCTTGTACTTCTCCTCAAAGAGCCAAGCTGTCCTCTTGTACAGCTCCTCCAACTGTTCGGAGCTCTCATAATGAAGGAGTTCAGCAACGTGACGCAGGATAGAGTTCACTGCTTTCGCTTTAGCATACCTCTCTGTACATTTGTCTATGTCTTCTGCGGAGACACGACGTTTTGACAAATCTATGTATCCTGGGAACAGAGAAAATAATGTTAATTATTTGTTTTGGTTAAAACTAACATAAATATAATTATGATAAGAATAAATCTATAGCACATTAAATATATCAATATTCTCCCAGTGAGTAATGAGTGTCCTTAGGGTTGGAGATTGAGCTATTTAAGTAGTGGAGGTTACTTTAACGTCACTAACACATAGTGAATAAAGTTGTATGCAACTTTTCACTTAACTAAAAGTGATAAGATATGATAGGTTTTGACGAACTAACCCTTTTCTTTGTCGACTCTGATGACAACGACAGGCTCAGTCTTGCCAACTCTGATCAATTTGTTGATGGATCTGATACGACGCCTCGACAACTCGGACAACAAGATCATGCCTTCAATGTTGTTGTATTCCAGCAGGTGGACGTACGCGCCCATCTCCGCGATACTCCTTACGTTCACCATAACCACATCTTCCACCTCCGGATACTTTTCTTGGTAAAATCGACACGAAAGAGGCATCTGAAATAATTTTACAATTCATAACCTATACCATACAATTTTATCTACATTCTATCAATATAGCACCCTCAATAGGCTTATTTTACTACCTTGTGTGTGTTTTATTAGTTATTTATTTATTAATTTTACAAAATAACTAAAAGAATGATGAAATACACCACTTGTTCACGTTGACGACAGAAGACAACTTCTACGTTCCGTTTTGACAAGGTGAAAACGTTACGTTACTTTACTATTTCACGCTACATACTTTACTTTACTAAAATTTTGCTATTTAAAATAATTTTATTCGAAACGGCAAATTGCAAAATATTTTAATATTTGTAATTAAAAAAACTTTTACCTCAATTGTATACTTATGTATAAAATAATAATTACTTTATTTTATTAGGAATGCCATCGCGTTCAAGCGTAATGAAACGTTTAAGAATGTTGTTATAAAAAAAATAAAAAAATGAGGTTTGGCTTAATAAATGGTCTCTAAATAAAATTATTATACACCTTTTTACTATTTTTGTACTGGCTATTATTAAAAACTTAAGATGCCATTAATTAAAACTTTTTAATTTGTTTCCTTTTGTTATTTTAGGCATCATTCACTTTTTTCATGCAAATCAGCTAGTACTGTTTTTATCTCTCTGCAATAATTGTAATAAAACTTTTAACTAAACCTCTTTACCGCGCAGTAAACAGAAAAGTATGTATTTTTTAGTTTCTTTAATCACTGGTATAGTTGGAAGTAATTTGAAGATGTAAATATTTATTTCATGAATATGTCAATTATTTGGTAATACAATACCTAATTCTTGAAAGTTGGTACTATTTAATAAAGATGTTTACTAGACATCTGTAAAAAAAATATATTAGCACTTTTTGGTCGAAGCAGGAATTGAAACCACGACAGAATGTGCAGCAGCCGATCATCCAGTCCCTGCCAACCGTACAGTCAATACATTTTATGCACATAGTAACAACAACGTGTCTAATGATTTGTAACCAACATTTATTTAATGTTTAATTAAACACGGGTTGCGTGCGTTTATCTTTCTGCCCATTAAAGCCTATTAACGAATGAAATCTATCGCATTCCTAGTTGGCAATGCACCGCAAATGTTCCAGGAAGATGGCCTATTTAAAAGTTTGCAAGAGCCTTGACAATGTGTTTTTATAGCAATTTAGAAAATGAACATCATTCTGTTATTTTTCTGTCATTCTTTTAATTTATGGGAGTCTTCCGGGGTTCTAGATGTGGGCAGACTGCGTAAGCAACAAGATGATCAATCTGTGAACAATTTGTTCACAATTTGATTTTTGACAATTATTACGGTGGTATTTTCCCATACTTGAATAAAATTTTAATAAGGTACTACTTTCATTAATATAATGATGTCAACGAAAGGGCTTGATGGCAGAATAAAGATTTGTTTTATGGGATAAGTCGGTAACCTACACAATTTTCATCTAATTTCAGTGATGCCCTTTATTAAAGCCGATAACGTGATACATCCCGTTTGTACCTGGGTATTTGGCCCAAACATAATTGGAATTCTTCTTTGTTCATCCCAGTCTAAAAATAAAAATGCACCATTGATACTGAGAAGAGAATCATTAGTAGATGCGTATGCGCCTCATAATGATGACACTTGAGACAGTCCAGACAATCGAATGGGCACTAAGATGACGTCACCAAAATTAGTTCTGTCAAAGAGCATTCTACATTGTTACCAACTATTTGGTGGCATTTTATACTTTTTATTGCATTTCACAACTTTTTATGTGTTTGTTATAAATCAGATCCAACGGAATGAATGTTCAAATAAATATGGAATGTCACCGATATGATTAGTCTCGATATTCTTATTTCTCATTATGATATTAATGAAAGATCTAGATCATTTTGTTACCTAGGTTTACAAAGGCTTATAATCAAGATACTTAGAAATAAGAATTTATATTATGTTGATAAATAAACGTTTAATTATCGAGGTTTAGTTCCAAATCTTACGTTCCAATTAAATGAAAGCATGGTCACCATACGCATTAGTTGTAGAGTTCATTATAATATGAAGAGGTCGCCTCTGGTGGTGCCGCCATCCGCCATTTGAATTCACAAATAAAACAATGGATTCCGCATTTCATACTCGTAGGTCAGTTCCGTGATTTTAATAATATAAGAGAAAATGATAAATTAAAACCTATTGACTTTTTTATTAGGTATACAAGGTACAAATAAACTACGTACTTTATGGCTAGGCAGAACAAAAAGAAAAGTAATTGAAAAAAGAAAACATTTGACGTTTAAAATTTGGCGGGAGCGGGAACGAATTTCTTAACTCACAGAATGCTTAAAAGTTTTGTTTATAGATTTGGTTTTGAATTTAATCTCTTGAATTTAGTTATTATAATTGTGATATGCCTCTAACATAGCTAGAAGTGAAGTACATATGTGCATATAGTAAATAGGTACCAAAATATTTGATACACCTACCTACTGATTGACTACAACAGGTTCCCCTATATTTGTGAGATCGACTAATAAGTAGTTACAAACTATGGCTTGGAAACCTGAATCAGATTTTAAGATGCTAAATAAGGTAAGTCATCTCATCTGCCATTCTTTTCTACCCTTCTACAATGTTAACTTTTCGAATATTAACTACTTTACTAATAAACAATGTCAATCGAAAATCTTCGCGACTAGATAGGTATGTATTAAGCTACATTCAGATCGCTTACTAAAATGAGTTTTATTTAATTTCTGTCGAAACCCAATACTGAACGATTAAGAGATTGCGGAACGATTTTATGGTTATTAATTTCAGCAGTAAAGAAGTACCTACTTAAGTACTTACACATTATTTGGCAGAGACGCGGGAATCATAAACATGAATCTTTTTTAATTATTAAGGTTTTCGGCTTATTTATGTAATTATTTCACGAGTAACTTGACTAGTTTGCTGTTAGATGATGATGATGTTTACTTAGTACTGAATGCTATTATTATAACTTAAGTATTTACGTTTATCATGATAGGAACGTATTACGTTCTTTAGGGAGGTCATCAATGTCCTTAGATACCCTAGGATAGGCTCGTCGTGGTAGTAGGTATAGGTATTATCACCCATATTCAGTTTCAGGCGATGACGAGAACTCCTTACAGTTTGAATCATCCCAGTATGTAAGAAGTTATGCATTCAATACTCAATTGCGGTTCCGTTGCTGTCATCAGCAAATTAATTGATATATATCAGCGTGCGCTGTCAAATCTCAGTGGTCAGTAGTCAGTAAGAGTTCGATTAGCCGTAGCGGTCGGATCGCGCGGGGTTGCGCGCGCACGGTATGCGCACGAGTTCGTTATTTTAAGTGTAGTATTATGGCGGTTTTTAGGTAAGTTTCTTTCTCAAATTATGTAAAATTCAATTTTCATCAAAGTTTCTACTAAGCAGCTATTATTTTTTTAAGGAATAGATCATATTCATTTTACTTACAAAAAATTGGTGTTATCTTTACCTTTTCAGAAGTGTGACTGCCTTTCAATTATTATTTATGACGATAATAAATACATTATTATCGAGGTCCAAGTACAATGGCAACAGTATATAAATCATAGATGAATTACGTCAAACATTTCGGTACATATTATATTACACCTATTTCTGTTTAAAAAAATACATGCAAAAGTAGATTACGAAGCAAATTTTAAATTTAATATAAATTTAGTCATCCTTACCTAATTCTTTCTGCCAAGTTGGTTAATGATATCGAAAACAATACATAATTAGGTATCTTAGATTTGGAAAGGTCATTCAAAACAAACTTAGGTAAAATACTACAGCGCTTCTATTCTCGCTATTCTTTCTATTATTGCATTGATGCCATGCAATGATTACACAAGTAACAATACAAAAATCATGATTCAAATCAATGTGAATGTACTTAAACAAGAGATAGAGGTAGAGATAGGGCATTCTTTATTTAACATTTGGTAAATAACGCATTGAGCGCCATCCAGCATTGAGCAAGCGTGGTGATGAATGCCCAAACCGTTTCCGTGTAAGAAGAGGCTTTTGGTCACTTATAGGCTGTTGATGATGATAATGATGATGATCATAGATAACGGCTAACATCCAATAAATTGTTAAGCCCTTGTTACTCTTCAGTAGTAGGTCCTTATTGAGTAAGTACAGACAGTATATAAGAGGCATACAAGCTCAAATTGTATAGCAATTTGACTGCACGGTTGGCGCGGTGGCTGGGCATCAGGCTGCCGCGCAACGTGTCGCGGCTTCGATTCCCACACGGAACAACTGTTTGTGTGATCCACAGATTGTTGTTCCGGGTCTGGGTGTCATGGGTATGTGATATTGTATGTTTGTAAACGCACCCACGACACAGGAGAAAATCCTAGTGTAGGGCAAGGATTTAAAAACAGATATTAACAAAAAAAACATACCACTTTCGTAGTTGGCAATCGTATAATGAAATAAACAAATTCAAATTCATACAAGCAAACTGCAGATCTAAAGACAAAGAGCAACAATGATGAATGTCGCTGATACTCCATTAAACGGTACAAATGAATTAAATGATCGTATCACATTGCCGAATCAAGCGGTCGTAAACTAAAAATACATGGACCATGTACATACTTACATACATATTATGTACTTCAAATTACATCAACAATCAACAGCTGGTCTATTGGCTATATTAGAGGAGTTTGCCGTAATCTCCATGCTTGCAAGGGTCGAAGATCAGTTCAAGGTTTAATTTCTTGAGAGAGCGCTGCTGCGCGACCTCTGTTAAGCCTTTGAATGTCGACAGAAAACTGCTGAAGGCAAATCCTCCGCTAACGTAGGTCACCGGTGACCTACGCGGCGGTTAACGTGCTAAATATACAGTCCCATATAGTTGGGTCTTACGACAGCCACCAGGAGGTATAGGGGTGATGTTATATGTATTCTAGCATGCCATCACCATAGATATAATAAAAAAGTCTATCTATGATATTTTTTATATTTCTGTGTATGGAATAGTGATTAGTCCACCCGGCACGGCACTTACATTCTTATTACTATGACAACTAAAGTTTGAATTACATTAGTGACGCTCCTGTATTATGCATGACTAATGTTTGATAGACGTGTGGTCAAAAAGCCAGGGAATAGTCATCATGATTCGTCTTTTAGAGGTCATATAGAAGTTTTTGCTTTTATAGTTGACCATCGAGCTCAGAGACGTGTTCTTACAGAGGCCTTTATCCAGCAGTGATGAACTTACAGAGATGAATAACAAATTATTTTTTTAATCCAAAACATACATAACATCACGCCTTTGATCCTCGAAGGGGTAGGCAGAGGTGCACATTATGTCACAGTACAATGTAACAGCCACTTTTCACTGTTTATGTTATGAGTCCCATGTAATAGGGGGTGAGCCTATTGTCATATACCGGGCACAAATCCAGACTCCGTGCTACTACTGAGATTTTTTTTTAAACCCTAATAATACTTTGCCCGACCCTGGAATTGAACCTGAGACCCCTGGTCCGGCAGTCGCACTTGCAACCACTCGGGCAACGAGGCAGAGTAATCCAAAACACACTAATACAAATTATACCTGATAAAAATAAGTTGATATAGCTACCCAATCTACTGTTTATGCAAGTACATTACTGTAAGCTCTTCGGGGAATCACATTGCACATCTGCGTAGACTGTTTCCTATAACTAGTAATTAGACTTTTATGTTGTTTAAATTTCTAAACTTGAGAGCGAGACAGCACGGAGTCTGGAAATGTGCCCGGTATATGGCAATAGGCTCACCCCCTGTTACATGGGACTCATAACGTAAATAGTGAAAAGTGGGTGTTACATTGTACAGTGGCATAATGTGCACCTCTGCCTACCCCTTCGCGGATAAAAGGCGTGATGTTATGTTATGTTATGAGAGCGAGATAGCTATCTTCCTCCCCATCCTAAATTTTCCCAATTTTCAAATCCCTAAATCTCAAAAGACCGGCTACGATCCTGAGCGGCGCCGATGGCTTACCATCAGATGATCCGAAAATTGCAATATGCGTAAATCTGTCTGTGTGACCTTAACAAAATATTTGTCGTTCAAAAATTTCAATACAGTTTACATATTTTCCATCCATCTATCAGATGACAATATGTCGTTACATTGACCCACTTGCCTTGACGTCACAAACCGTTAAGAAGCCATCAAATTGACTCGCTTACCACTCATTGGCTGTTGAAGGTCAAATCAAGTGGGCCATAGACGCAGTTCAATTATTTATTGACCCAAGAGCTATCGAGATTCGATGTCCCAAACTAGGACGTTCTTGATGTTTCAATTTATTTGATGCATCGTCATTTTGGGAACGGGGTGGTATGTCAATAGGTCAGGAGTATTCGACTATCTAGCAGTTTCTTGACCTATCTTGTTATTTCTCTAAGCAGATACTGCCTCCTTAGTTTTAAGAATCATTTAAGTATTCAACATAATAATCATCAGTCTGAAACTGTCTCAATGCAATGCTGAGAAAAAAAAGACTTTTTCTCATATAGAGCAGAAAGCGACCAACAATAATAAAAAATTAAGTTGAATTGAAGATTTCAACCTTATAATTTGGAATTGTAGGTCCAGGTTGCCAGGCAAACATGATTTAAGACCTACTTCAATGCATTAATTAATTAAAAATATTACAATCGTTAGAAATACACCTGAAAAAAAATAATGGAAGAGGAAAGAAAAATACTTACTCGTTCTTCGTTTTTATGGATGATGAAGGAAATTATTCGAACGATAGAGGGATCTATCATTTCAAATTACACTCAACCTTAAAATTGCCAATTGGACCTTGAACAAGCGTAGTGATTAATATTAGGGACGGAGTGATGTTGTTCATAATGAATAGTTTCTATTATATTACAGCCTAATTGTTTACCTATTCATTTTTCAATTGTTTGTTTCAGGTACATTATTTTAGTCGTCGCGATATCATCATATTCTACAAGTAATGGACAAATAGGTAAGTTATAAGTAGACATCACCAAATAAAAACAGTCAAAATAAAAGGAAAACAGTCCTAAGGAATATTATAACAATGAAATATTCTAGAGAAACACACTAAAAATGTTTACATTGATTAACTACGTCCAGGTAATTATTTTAGTTAAGTGAAGCTAAGTGCTTGTTTCAAAATATAACAAGCAAGAAACTCCATACCTACTTACGTTTTGAAAGGGTTTTTAATTCACATTCATATTAATTCACATTAAGTCGGTTGTATTTAATGTTACCGACAAGTCTTGTGGGAGATTTATTAGTTAATTAAAAATTCTGTTGTTAAGCCTATATATACCTTATCATTTCATTACAGCAATCTTACTAATATTAATAAAGCATTTTAGGGACATCACAGTATACGTTAAGAGTTTCATGTATCAACACTTTTCCAGCAAACTTCACAACCACAACTGCAACTACAACCAAATCTACAACATTATCTTCTTCAACAACTACAACCACATCAGAGCGACCTCAGGCAGACATAGCATCACCATGTTCCTCTCACACACCAGGAGACGTGGACTTTCAGACAGTGGACCTGATAGCCGTTTATCGGCTAGACCAACGTGATACTAAAGGCGTTACGTTGGTGCAAGGCTCTCAGGATCTGCAAAGAGCTTATAGAATTGGGCTTGATGTGAATTTGACTTTGCCGTTGAAGTAAGTAATCTGTAGGGCGATCTTAATATCCTTAAACGAGGTCGTGGGGAGTCTTATATTTTGTAAGAGATTCAGTTCATTCAGTATGTTGACCTAAGCATAAGTTAACCTAAGCATAAATTTCATCTCGACTAAATGTAAAAAATGTTTTTAACTATAACTATTAGACTTTAGGGGTCACGCCCCTGTAGCCTTCCCTATGAACCATGCGTAGAGATCTTGCCACAAAGATCTTGTGAAAATAAAACCACTGGACTCTCTGCTACATCATTAAGAAATATACAATTTGTTGTACTTAGAGTTTAAACTACTCCTTTTTAGTAACGATTTTGTTCCGACATCAATTGCCGATTAATAATCATAGAATGACTCTGAGTATGGCGGAATCTAACGACCAATAGCAATACTTATTTCAATGTTCATATTGTTTATTGGGTCTGTCCAACCATTTCTATCTTGTAGGGAGGTATTTCCAGCAGGGTTGCCTCCTCACTTCACCGTGGTCGGTACGTTCAATGCTCGTGGCCAGCGACGGCCGTGGAGTCTGGTCCGAGCTCGATCTGAGTCCAGTCTGCAGTTCGCACTCACCATGCTACCAGTCACCAAGAAGATCGTCGTCTTCATTGGAGGGTCTAGGGTCATGTTTAACAGTTGGGAAGTAAGTTGTTATCATTTAATAGTATTTATGCGTGTTTAGTAGATGTTATTTGCTTGTTAAATTATGTTACGTACGGCTTTGTATCAATCGAAGTGATTAAAAAGTAACTCAAATGAGAAGTGGCTTTTTGGGGGTTTTTGGAGGCTAGGGATTTGTGAATTCGGGGAATAGGGTTGGAGGATTGGGCCTCTCGTCCTCAATCCAAGTCCTAGGCCTCCAGTGGCCTCAATCATAAGTCGCGGTTAGTTAAATTAAGTAGTTATAAAATGTATGTAATAATAGCTAAATTAAGAAATATTCTTGAGCCGAGTCTGAGGTAACATGAAAGTTGAATAAAACAATAAACTTGTTTATTTGTAATTAGACGCCCATTGATGAGCTAAGTGGGGTTTTAGCCTCTTGTCTGTTGAAGATTGTGGGTATAATGTGTTTTATACCGGGAGCCGGTGTTTCAACAGATAAAAGGTTGGGTAAACCAGAACTAAGTGCTAATGCTAAGTTTTAGTTATAGCCGTTTTGTAATATTTCCAGATTTTCACTCCAGGTTGGCATAAGATCCACGCTTCTATCACCAACAACACTGTACACGTAGCAGTCGACTGTGTTGAGGTGAGATTTTACTTTTAATGATTTAAATTAAATAAAAATTCGTTTTATTAATACTATCATGACAACAAGCTCTACTAGTTTCAAAGCACATTGGGACTCTTATTCATAGACTGAGCGAAAATGCTACGGCATTCATAGTACGGCATACCTATGTACTTTTTGTGTTTATAAATAAAATCACACCTTTTATCCTCAAGGGATTGGCCGAGGTGCACATTACGACACTTAATGTCACTGTACAATGTAACACCCACTTTTCACAAATTATGATATGAGTCCCATGTTAGTTTCCAGACTCCGTGTTACTACTGAGTTTAAAAAAAACTCAGTAATAGTAGCCCGACTCGGGAATCGAACCCGAGAACCGTTACCCGGCAGTCGCACTTGCTAACACTCGGCCAACAATGCAGTATTAATTACATAAAGCTGAAAAAATAAACAAACTCTTCGCATACAAGAAAAAATTTTAGGGTATTTTTAGGGTAGACGACTAATTTTTATTTTAATGTCCGTCTGGTAGATTATTTAAAAACATTAGACACGTATTTTTTATTTTCTTACGGAAACGAATAGTTTCGAAGATATATTGATTTGAAATGTCGCGTGACGTCACTTCTCAGTACATTTTATACTGAGAAATGACGTTTTAGCCCCCACTCCTAAACTTTGATTCGTTTTATCTAAGTATTGTTTTATTATACGACAAAATAAAAAAATACGTGTCTAATATTTTTTCATTACCTAACTTACGGACTAATTAGATTTTTAATTTTCATACCCTGTCATCATCCCCAATCTTTTCGCCTACAAATACTAGTATCTGATTTTCAGTTAATGCCTGAGAAGATAACAACTGGTGACTTCACAAACGCTACTTCAGTGACCATCGTTTCGAATGACGACGGGTCATCTGCACCTGTGAGTATTATTATCTACATTAAATATTTCCCAGATATATTTATTGAACATTAATATTTTAATTAAATCCAGAGCACAGGATAGAAATGAAGAAAAAATCATTTATAAAAATGTTCAGTAAATTCTATTGAGCTTTCATTAATTGTGTTGAATTGTTTTCTCTCGAAACCGATCGAGTTACCTCGATCAGTTTCAGGCCCACTCAGGGCTCATATATATGAGAATAGAATTGCGCGACACAGGAGTTATAATAAGAGATGGTAAGTGTAGGTTATCAAGGGGTTTGATTTCAGCACATGCCAAAAGAAAAATGAGTATAATGAATTATTATATTCTTCTAGATAGACCTCCAATGGCTGTCGTTAAGTTGTGACCGGTACAATTTGAGTAGAGATACCTGCGAGGAAATTGTAAGTAAATACAATAACATTTAATTATTTAATTAAAGAAATAGAGCATAGAGACAATAAATTTAATGGAAAAGGTAATTCATGGTTTCGAAAAGACATAACATAACATCATGCGTTTTATCCCATAAGCCATAAGGGGTAGGCAGAGGTGTACATTACGGCACTTAATGCCACTGTACAATGTAACACCCACTTTTCACTATTTATGTTATGAGTCCCATGTAATAGGGGGTGAGCCTATTGCCATATACCGGGCACAATTCCAGACTCCGTGCTATAATACTATGCCCAACCCGGGAATCGAACCGGTTGCCCGGTAGTCGCACTTGCGACCACTCGGCCAACGAGGCAGTCAGAGCAGATTTGCAATAGAAAGAAAATGTAATCAATGAGTAAATAAATAAAATTATTTTATTTCAGGATAAGCCTCAATTTATACAGGCGACACCATCACCGAAAGTAAGTAAAAACGACGATAAATACTAATTTCAGTTAGAAAAAAAAATAAAAAAAGTAGTCAGGTTTCGGATTTGATGTACTTGCTCCACCAAATGAGTTATAAGTGCATTATCTTTTAGGCATTAAGGGGGATTGGCCACTGGACATTTCGAGATTGGGGTTGGGAATTTTTTCCGACTCCGGCATAGGACTCGTACACAAAACTGCGATGCGACGTTGCATCGCAAAATGTGCGACCGCCCTCTACGCATCGCAAGAACTTGCGAATTGATTCGCATCGCGCATCTTATCTTCCCAAAATTTTCTTTGTTTCTCTTTCCTGTACCTTCCAAGCAATAACAGAAGGGCACACGATTTTACGATCCATGTCACGACCTAGGTTTCAATTTAAAATACGTTTAGAACGGTTGACGGTCGTCGAAGGAATGGTCATTCTGGGAAACGCCTTGTCACTTCGTGCGACAAGGCGTCTCCTCCCAGGGTCCCAGGGTCGGTCTAGAATCGCATCGCAGCAATTCGCATTGCATCGCATCGCAGTTTTGTGTACGAGCCTTAAATAATGATCATTTTATTTACAAAAATCCATTAGCATCTTTCCCTGATGCAGGAATGAACGCATTGCACAGCCATTGTGAATTCCTATGATGTTACAGTGTCCTTTTATCTTCTAGTATGATGTGGACCCCGCGTTACTGGCGGATCCAAATGAAGGCAGTATCTGCAATACTACATGTCCTGCGGTAAGTATAAACAATTGTAGAACCGAATGACCAATAAAAGTTAAATGAAACTGATTAATTGATTCTGAATATAGAGGTATAGTACGACAAACGGTGAAGGGCAACATCGTGAGGAAGCCTGGGCTTATAATTTCTAATTATAAGTTTGAAATCGCCAACCCGCATTGAGCAAGCGTGGTGATTAATGATCAAACCTTTTTAAGCATTTATAGGATGTTGATAGTGATGATGATGGTTTCGTACGAAAAATCCTAAGGGATTTTCAAACATTGACAGCATTGGACAAAATATTTAGGCATTTGTTCATACAAAAGTAGTTTTTAAACATGGGCAATACGGTCTATAATGGAGTTAGTGCAGAGCGCTTGGGGACTCGGTAGTGGATATTGTTCTATTGAATAAGTTAAAATACTTTTTAATTTCAAAAACATTTTATAATTTTTACGCCAACTAAAATTGCTTTGTTTTGTGTACGTACGCTTCTCATCCCAAATTTTTTTTATAGATTATTATTATTAAGTATATTTCAGTTAAAACCATTATTTCACGTGTGAGAAGATCTGGGAGCCTAATTTTGATATTTTTACTATAGGGCCCAGAAGGACCTCGTGGTGGTAAAGGAGAACAAGGACCAAGAGGATACACTGGTATACCGGTAAGACATTATATGCAAAGGTCCCAACATACATACATACACCAATGGCCACTGACATTCCATTGGTGGACTATGGACGACGACAAAAGAGGTATTTGCTATTAATCGCCACAAATCGATAATTGCTTGCAGTTTTAAAAGGAACACATTTGTCAAAGCCGTACCACCACGTAAGGTGTCTGTTAAAAATGTAGTCCCTTATGTCCAAATACCTAAACGTCACTAAATTTTAAGCTGCGTCTACACATACTATACTTCTGTCACTATAAATTCTTTGTAAAATGACAGAGATGGCACGATATTTAAGTTCAAATTGAAGCAGCTTTTCCGAGACCTTAGTACGAGTTTGATTTACGAAACGATACGAAGGCATACGCGTTCGACGCTCTGATTGGTTGGTTCATAGGAGCCGGCCAATCAGTGTGCCGAACGCGGTCTCGTTTCGAATACTTTAAACGTATAATAAACTCATACTAGCGTACAATAGCCTCAGTATTCGGGCGTAAGTCAGATCTTACGACAACCGCGGAAAGAGTGGTTCATCATATTAGTAATTATTCTCTATTGTTAGTACTGTTTCAAATTAATTATTTTCTTCTAGGGCATACGCGGTGTTAAAGGTGAACCCGGGGTACCAGGTCTGTCTGGGTTGAAAGGAGACAGGGGCGAACCGGGGCCACCGGGCCCCATCGTTAATGTGAGTAAATAAAACATAAATTATCCAATAGATACTAATTTTTTTAGGGTTATTCTATCCACTTGGAAAAATCGGAGAGAACTGTGTGGTAGTTTTAGTTTATCTGTAAAATTGTTAATTAGTTATAAATGTAGTGGACTTTGTTTTATAGTGTGTAAGGATGTGTTATTCTTGTGTTACCACTAACGTTCATTACGACAGGCTTGGTTTGAAATTTGTTTTATGGCATAAGCTAGTAAACGAGCATACTGATCACCTGATAGTAAGCAATCGGCGCCGCCCATGGACGCCTTGGAACACCAAGGCATTTTGGGAAATGGGAATTTGAGGATTGTGGCGAATTCTGGGATTGGGAAGACGGGAGGAGGGGTAATTTGGCCTCGGGTAACCTCGCTCACACGACGAAACACAACGCAAGCGTTGTTTCACGTCAGTTTTCTGCTCGGCCGTGGTATCACTCCGGTCGAGCCGGTCCATTCGTGCCGAATCATGGCTCTCCCATAACTAAAATTTTTTTAAAGTGTGGGATATCCATCGTTCGACATTTTTCACAAGTTATTGAATCCTGATAATATTATATATTGTCGATGATTAAAGGCTTCAGGCCCAGGCTATGTTGGACCACCAGGAGAACCTGGACGCCGTGGACTAAAGGGAGAGAAAGGAGACAGTGGTCAAAAAGGTAAAAACAAACCTATGATAAAGTATTTTTCGTTCATAGTAATAGAGTAGATGACTAATTTTTATTTTAATGTCCGTAGGTACATTATTTAAAAACATTACACAATATTTTGTATTTTTAATTTTTTTACAGAAACTTTTGACGATGTATTGATTTGAATTGTCGCGTGACGTCACTTCTATGTACATTTTATACGTAGAAATGACGTTTTAGCCCCCACTCCTAAACTTTGATTTGTTATATCTAAGTATCATTTTATTATACAACAAAATAAAAAAAATACGTGTCTAATATTTTTTTATTATCTAACTGACGGACTAATTAGATTTTTAATTTTCATACCCTGTCATCATCCCTATTCTGAACTGATCACTCTTTTACTAGAATAGTCTTTCAAATAATTCCCTTTTTTTTTAAAAAAATCTCAGTAGTAGCACGGAGTCTGGAATTGTGCCCGGTATATGGCAATAGGCTCACCTCCTATCACATGGGACTCATAACATAAATAGTGAAAAGTGGGTGTTACATTGTACAGTGGCATAATGTGCACCTCTGCCTACCCCTTAGGGGATAAAAGGCGTGATGTTATTATGATGATCTTTCAATTAATCATACGGTCAACGTATTATAATTAAAGTTGTGACAAAACCATTAATTACTGTTTTCAACTGAAATGTTTCAGGTGAAGCAGGAGACGTTGGGTTGGTTGGTCTCGCCGGCGTCCCGGGAACAGACGGGAAAGACGTGAGTTCTTATCTTACAAATGATATTAAAAAGAGAACTTAAACTTATAAATTATATTTTTTTTTATTATAGAAGAAAGAAAGAAAGAAAAATTGTTTATTTGCACACCGTCACAAGGTACAATAACACAAAGAAATAAAATAAAAAAACAATACAGTAAAGACGGCGCAAAAAGGCAAGAGCTAAGCTTAAATGCCCGGACACGAGTGTGCTCGAGTCGCGGCGCTGATTTTCAGCACTTGCCCGTGACTAATAAAATATTATACATTTAATAATAATAAATAGAAAAACAGTAAAAAAATATATATATAGAGTGATATTATGTTTTTCAGGGTCTACCTGGGCCCCCGGGGCCCGTAGGACCACCTGGCACCCGAGGACTACCGGGTCCACCGGGGCCTGCTACCAACATAAACGCTTCGCTGGTACATGGTACGTTATTCTTATTCTTTAGGTACATATTTATTTTACTTACAAAAGCATAGAAGACTAGATATATGATAAGATGGTATACCTCTAGAAGATTATTTGCTACGATTAAGATGCATAGACATCAGGCCATCCTATCCTAATTTTACGATCTGCGGCCACCGTAAGAGTGGGCTTGCGGACGGCGAGCATGGGTGGCTCGCCGTCCGACCAGAACCAGACCCGAGCGTACGGCGCGTCGCGTTCCGCGCGCGCCTCAAATAGCCATCACCACCACGGATGGGGCCCAATAGGACTGATGTCGATACGGAGTCGCGGAGAACTTAATGGGTTACCGGGGCTCCAGCTCGAAGTGCAGGAGAAGGAACGGGGTGGTTTTTAGTCAGTAAAGAGTCTGACACTCCCTCCCGCCTCACCCAGGCGGGAGCAGTCATTCGATGATTTTAACCCATAAAAAAATCCTAATCTTATCTATAAAATCAATTGAAGATCTTCATTTTAGCTGACCGAGTAAGCGATTGGACTAAAAAATCAAATATTTATCAAATAAAAATATTTTTGTTTCAGGTGCAAAAGGCGAGAAAGGCGCTCCGGGTCGCGATGGCAGAGATGGTTTCACAGGCCCACCTGGACCACCGGGACACGACGGGACTATAGTAAATATAATAATATTTATTACAATTACTAAGTACCTATACAAAAGATAATTGACACCTTAAGTTATATTGTTCAACTAACTAAATTTGCAGTGATTAAGAAAAATAAAAGAAGTTAAGTTTTTTTATAGTAAATGTCTTGTTAATTTTTTCCACAATAGTAGGAACTTAAATAATATCTGGTTCTGAACGATTTCCTCTTCGATACATTGCGATTTATAGTACCTACCTAAAATTTAAATGGATAATTAATTATTATTAATTGACTTTCAGATGTTATTTTGCCACTAATTGTTTTCCTTTCCTTAGCTTCGTTAGTTGTTGGTTTTCCAATAAATAAATATTTAGATGTTATAGATGACAAAGCAACACTTTGAGGTGATAATTTGGTATAAGAAAAAATCTTCATCTTCAGTTATTAATAATTTCAATATTATTTTTTCCAGGGCCCCCCTGGACCGCAAGGATTCCCTGGTGCTATTGGTATGCCCGGCAACATGGGCCCACCCGGCCTACCGGGTCCATCGGGGAAATCAGGGCTTGATGGACAACCGGTAATTATTATTATTAATTTATTGACACAAGTTTTTTGGCACAGCGGTTAGGCAACCGGCTGCCGTGCAACGAATCGCGGGTTCGGTTCCAACATGGAAGAACTCTTTGTGTGATCCAGGTGTGTATGAGAATTAATGTTTGTAGATGGATTTAATTGTGAACGACAAAAAAATTCGGAACGCAGCAAAGTTACATTTCTTAACGAAATACATGTTTCGATATTTCAGAAAAATATAATTTTATGTCAATTATTTTCTTAAACTATTCATATTTGTTTTCAGGGGCCAGCAGGTCCACAGGGGTCACCGGGTCCCCCTGGACCTCCCGGTCGGCCGGGATCCACTGATTCAACGCCGATAATACCCATACCTGGACCGCCGGGCCCCATAGGGCCCAAAGGGGAGGTAAGCTAAATAATTATAAGCATAGCATAATAAAAACATTTTGTAAGAAATATTTATTATTCTAAATATTGTTCTAGAGAGGTGAGCAAGGTTTCCCAGGGTTGCCTGGTCCAGCAGGACTGGATGGGGTCCCTGGACAGAGAGGACTTCCTGGCCCTCCTGGAGTATCAGCGCCACCCACTTTCGTAAGAGAGGTAATGTTAAAAATACTACTGGTAATATAACTAGGTATAAAATAATCATGCAAAAGTGAGAGAAAGTCTAACCTATTTATTTTTGTTATTTGTAAAATACTGTAATTGTTTTTTCAAATATTTCAGACTCCTTCAATGTCTGAAGCTGAAGTAAGAAATATTTGTGAAGATATTGTAAAAGGTAAGTAAATAATATTCGTGTAGACAAAAGTCCTTAGTAAGATTAAGCTGTATGGCTCACAACCAGGCGAGCATGGGTAGCTCGCCGTCCGATCAGAACCGAGCGTACGGCGTGTTGCGTACCGCGCCTCAAAGAGATGGGGCCCAATAGGGCTGACGCCCGATAGGGAGTCGCGGAGGACAGGAGTAGGAAGGGAGTAGGGGGGTATTTAGTCAGTAAGAGTCTGACGCTCCGTCCCACCTCACCCAGGCGGGAGAAACCATTGGATGATTTTCCCCCTAAAAAAAGTAATGGCTCACAACCATTATCATTATCATTTACTTAATTCAGACAGGCAGTTGAAACAACTGATAAATGCCTGTATCGTATTTTTCTATCAGTGGTTAATTCGATGTTGTGTATCTGTCAAGTCTGTTTTTGAACTGGTTAACATTCTGTGCAGCGATTACATATTCCATGTAACCAATCCCAGTTTTCTACCTGGATTTGAAGTTTGAGACATTTTGTTTAGAGCCTTATATCAAAATTATCTGTATTTCACATTTCTTTTAACAGTGCGCCTCAATGAATTTGCTTCGAATCAAATATTGTTGCCTCCGACGGTATTAGGCAAGAGGGGCCATCCAGGCCGGCCGGGTCCACCGGGGCCACCAGGTAAGAAACTATAAATTAATTAATATTAAAAAATTAAAGTAAACTTAAATAATTAGTGTACTATGTATAACATCTGAGATACTACATCCTCTACATAACATAACATCACGCCTTTTATCCCCAAAGGGGTAGCCAGAGTTACATTACGGCCCTTAATGCCACTGTGTAATGTAACACCCACTTTTCACTATTTATGTTATGAGTCCCATGTGATAGGGGGTGAGCTTATTGCCATTTACCGGGCACAAGTCCAGACTCCGTTCTACTACTGAGATTTTTGAAAAAACCCAGTGTTACTTTGCCCGATCCGGGAATCGAACCCGAGACCCCTTGGCCAACAAGGCAGTCATACCTCTACATAATTAAGCTACATTAATTAAATATATATCGCTGACTCACGTTAACTTTTCGAAAATGCTCGACTAGGTTCAAAACACGCCGGGGCTCATAATAATAAACTGCGAAAGATATCGTTCAGTTACCACTGTTGGAGATTGCGCACTCATATGTGTAAATACGTACATATAAAACATGTTACATAATAGGTATATAAACGTATCTATTTTCACCAACTTATTGCCCTATTTTAAATTAAAATTCATATTAAATCATATCTCGTTCCAAAGTGCCTTTCTGGTCTAATTGAAATAAAGGATTTTGATTTCGACTTCGACTTTATAGGAATACCAGGCCTCTCAGGAGACCCAGGTCCCCGAGGGTACACTGGTGAAACAGGGGACCCGGGTAAACCTGGCAGCATGGGCCCATCTGGACAGAAAGGTGACAAAGGCGACAGGGGGCCAGAAGGCATCGGCGTTCAGGGACCAGAAGGACCACGAGGGCAAATTGGTAACGTATACTCTTTGGTAATACATACTAGCAATCTCAGACAAAATTTTATTTTGCATTATTAATTATCTATACTAATATTATAAAGAGGAAAGATTAGTATTTTTGTATTTTTGTATGTTTGTAATGAATAAACTCAAAAACTACTGAACCGATTGCAATAATTTTTTCACCATTCGAAAGCTGCATTATTCAGAAGTAACATAGGCTATATAATATCACGCTAGGTCCTATAGTTGTGGAGCAGTAACCAAAAATGTTTTAAAAACGGGGGAAAAGTATCGTTTCTGAGGCCTGCCGTGGCGTGCGCTGAGCATATAGTTAAAGTTATACAAAAATGTTCTATAGATGAATTGTTTATCTTAACATTATTTTTAAAAAAGTCCGCGAGAGCATATGTCTACCTTTTATAGTTTACCCATAACAATCGTTTTAATGAATGGTTCAATCCTTATAAAAGTTTGCTCTAGATAACTTTTGAATTGTTCAATCGGTTACCTTAAGACGCGACATCGACAACGGAGGGCAGGTCGCTAAAAAAAACTGAGAATAAATATAAATAAAACGTAAAACTATGTAAAAAATCTTAAGTCCCCCCGTGCGAAGCCGGGACGGGCCGCTAGTACATTATAAAAAAGTATTGAAAAGGGATGATGACAGGGTATGAAAATTTAAAATGTAATTAGTCCGTCAATTAGGTAATGAAACATATTAGACACGTATTTTTTTATTTTGTTGTATAATAAAATGATACTTAGATATAACGAATAAAAAGTTTAGGAGTGGGGGCTAAAACGTCATTTCTACGTATAAAATGTACAGTCAAAGGTCAAAAGTCCACCGCCACCGTGAGTGATGTTCACACGGCAATGCGTAAGTAATTTCTTATTAATGTGCACAAAAACGCGTGCGTACGCATAAACACACGCACGCGTACGCACACGGATTAAGATATGCGTGTGCGTGTGGGTATAAGCGCTGCAGCACAACCGATAGTAGTCTTGTGGTGGATGGACGGTGGCAGTGGACTTTTGACCTTTGACCGTATATAGAAGTGACGTCACGCGACATTTTAAATTAATATAACTTCGAAACTATTCGATTCCGTAAAAAAATTAAAAATACGAGTCTAAGGTTTTTAAATAATCTACCAGACGGACATTAAAATAGAAATTAGTCGTCTACCGTATTAGTCACATTTTCATTATAATTATTTTGATATAATAATGGAATCTCTAAACTAGCAGACGACTGTATCGGTTTTCATACGAATTCTTTTCCGACAAAATGAGTTTGGAAATGCCGTGTCCGAGAATTTATTGTTTCCTATGAAATGTTGAAAATACAGTTTTGGTCGCCATGGTGGTAACCGATGCCTGACTTTAGCGAAGAATTTGCCTTAAAAATCTTTTCCATTAGCAGTCAAAGTTCTAATCTATAATATATTGTCTTCAGGTCCAGTTGGCCCACCAGGTTATCCAGGCAGAACCGGAGACAGAGGTGACCCAGGACGAGAAGGTAAGGGAGGAATGTGAAATTCATGTACATATAAAAGTGGTACGAAGATCTTCTAATAATTTAATAACCGATTTTATTATAAAAATCGCGGAGTAACACGTATTTAAATAAAGTCAGTCTGTTTTAAACATAAATCGGCAATTTACTATAGGTAATGATATAAAAATTTGACGTTTCTTTAGGTCCAATTGGTCCCCGCGGCCACCCAGGACTCCGTGGAACCTGCGAGTGTCCAATGGCATACTACGCTTACTCCCCACAAGGACTTAACAAAGGACCATAAACACTGTAAATAACTCGTACTTAATAAAATGTCTCAAAATACTGAAGAATAGTTTTTATTATTTTATAAGTACATTGTCATTCATATCAGTTATTTTCGTCATTTACTATTGTATTGCGTCCCTAATGCCCGTTTTTACCCATCTCTCGTTAAAATAACCTCTAAGTTATGATAAGACATTTAACATTATTTTTGTTTTCACCAACCTATAAGGGACACCTAGCAGTACAAATAAGGGGTTAGTTTAGGTGCTACGTCATGTTAAGTGACAGTTTGGGAGTAATTGTTCGAAACGGCCATTACTATTTTTATTTTTTTTATTTTTTCATAATTAAACGTATTCTTTTTGAAATAAAATTAATAATTTACTAAGAATAAAAACATAATTTAATAAAAATAAACCAAAAACATATCGTCACTAAATACAAGAAATTATCTCCATACTTTATTTTATAAAAACAATGTAGGATGGCTAAGATTTCGTTAGATTTAATTTTTCGAAGTTCCTCCGCCATTGTTGAGAATGAGACAAGATGGCGTCAATTGTTCGCGGGTTCTATTTCGCGGACAGTTTCAATATCTGCCTTGCAGAAGAAGCACTGCTTACTGTTTAATAAGTGCTGCATTATACAAGCTCTGAAATAAAGAAGAAATCGTTACAGCTAGTATTTTTTTAACAAAAAAACTATTTATAAGTTGCAATACTTCAAAAGTTACTTTTTATGAAGTCGGTTAATAATAACTTCAAATATTTTGCTAAAACCAGGCTTACGGGTAACAAAGCCTTTTTAGAAAACTGCTTTAAAGTCGGCTCAGTCAAATGCGAGATAATCGCGGGCTTGCATACAAACAGGACAAAGTGAGAAATTCCTCTTTACTGAAGTTAGTTATAAATGGTTTCAATATACCTGCAAGAATGATGTCCACATGGTACAAAAGCTGTGTCTGCGGGTCTTGCGTAGCAGATCGTACATAAAAGGTCGGACTGCGCCCCGCTAGAGCCCGGGGACTTCGACCTCACCACCGCATCTCGAGCTACACGGAGTCTATCTGCTACTATTTCTAACGCTTTCAACTCATCAAATGTTACATCTTCTGGATCTGAAATGCACACAATAATAATTTATTAAAAAGTGACGAGTTTGTGTGGCCATATTTTAAAAGAGACAAAATAGTTTTGATTTAATTAGTCCAGTTTATGAATTATTATTGATATTTCACATGAAACAGCGATATATAGAGTTTCAGTCAGTCCTTTAGTTATCCTATACAATTATACCTATACCATGCGCGAATCCCGATTCTCTGACCCCAATCCTTAAATTTCTAATTTCCAAAAAGGCCGGCAACGCACTTGTTACTACTCTGGTGTTTCGGCTGTCCACAAACAGCGCTGCTTGCTTGCCACTAGGAGAGTTAAATTGAGTAATAAGAAAAATAAGGTATTGCACTTACATTTGTAAAATGAGAACACTTTACTGTCTTTGGACTTGCCCAACATTAGATCCAGGCCGTCCATCCTGAACAGAGGTTCCAATACCAACGCTTTCGTCACCCGATCAAGGTGCTGAAATAAAAATGATATTGCGTATAACTTGTACATAAATCAATTACAATTTGTTATAAAAAAAACCAAGTGCAACTAAGAAGACATAAGGACCTATGTCGCTGGTCTTTGCAAGGAAGGCAGATCGTTAGAATAAAAACTATTTGAAACAAATAACTGAATCTTTGCCAAAAATAATTCTTGAATTCCTTTAAGACGTTATCGAGTAATCCGTGAACATACGTAGACAATAACCAAATCGATCGAAAGATAAAACTAAAGCTTCAAAATTAACAACGACATCATTATAATAAGTAATTTAACACCCTTCTACTTTATTACTTACTTCAGGTGGTAATTTTGAGTCAAGCATTCTGATGAGACAGCCGGCCACGGGGGCGAGTGCCACGTAATAGTGTACCCGGTCCGTATCAGGTAACCCTCGGGCCACTAGACGGGCAAAACTGGCACCACCACCACCACGGATACATACTCTTGATACCACTGCCATTAAGATCTGAAAAAAGATTAATCTTTAGTGGGTAAAATCAAAATTTTTGTGCGAACAATGATCGAATGGATGATTGCAAAAGATGTCGGGATAGTTAAGACACTAGCAAAAAGATAGTAACATTACTATGTGTTTAACTTAGTTCTTAGACATATAAAAGATTTTGGTAACATAATATATACAAAATTCAAGAAATCGACAACATTGAAAAATATTCCACACAACCTCAGGGGCAGATTAAACCTAAAGAGGATCCTAAGCACCTAATTTTGTTTAGCGACGTCGCTATTCTAGTTATTCGGCAGTTGGGGACGCGCGTCTCGCGGCTGTCCTCTGTAACCTAGCGCCCTAGACACTTGCCTAATTTTCCTTAGAGATAATATGGTTCTGCTAGCTCTAATAGACTATCCAACTAAAAATCATTAACAGTTGAACTAGAGCCACATAAAAAACTAACAAAATCTAACAATACTTATTCCTTTACCTGGCAAGTTCTACCGAGTAGCAACTCATTCTGGTTTTCACACGCTTCTGGTTTGGTCAGCAGTAAGGGAGCAAGGTGTAGCGTCATCTCCAGTGCTCTGGCCAAACCGTGGTACAGGTCGAAACATGTTGCACATAGTTTGATCTGACGTGACTCTAGATGTGCGTCCACGCTTACTCGATCCATCTAGAGAAGAATGGACAAAAAAATTGCATTACAAAATTGAAGTACTTTCTTGACTTTCTTCTTCTTGAAAATCTTACCTCTTGCATCATAGTAATGAACTCTGAGAATGCCCAGTTGAGCTGACTGAGCAAAGAATTCAGATAGGCGGCTGCTGCAGTCGGATGTGAAGAGAGGTATTCTTTTATCCGAGCCTGAATCACCTCTGATGGACAGGGCCCTTCACAACAAGAAGCATACAGCTACATATCAAGCTACGCAATCCAGTATAAACTGACTGTCAAGTGTGAGGAGTGGTCATACAATGTGAGATCATGATGAACTGGTTTTGTACATACATGTGTAGTATCTACATCAACTTATTGAAAGTCATGAGGCACTTTTAATGTTAATTAAGTATTAATACCTTAATATGCGCCGTGAAATCTATTTCGATTTCGTCCCGAAGTAGAATGGTTTTGTCTTGTAAAAAAACAGAGTTTCCAAAGAAATGAAATGTTTAAAATAAAAAATAACTGGTGAAACATTGCAAAAAGCACACTTCGAAAGCGCATATGAACTCATAGTACATTATCAAAACATCACCCCGCCGTGTAATTTCATAAGAGGTATTTCTCGTCGGATTTTATGTATGTGCGATGCGAATAGTGCTTACAAATTTTCGTCTAGTGTTTCATGTGCGTATTTTCATGAATCTTTTTTAAGCTAAAATAAATATATGACGTCTTCAATTTTTTGTTTTTATTTTATACATCGAAAGTACTTCTTGTTTTGCCGCGAGATGAAAACGAAATAGATTTCACGGTTTAGTATACAATGTACATTTTGTACGTTTTATTATGTCGACGAGTGATAATATTGTCAATTAGAAATAATAAAAGTTTATTGATGCAGTATGCTTATTGAACTAACCGAAACATTGACTCATGAGTCCTGCATCCACTTTGGCTCCAAGATTGTTGACTGTCGGTTCTCTGTCACCGTATCTGTGTAATAACAATATTAAGATTAGCAAGTACCTAGTGAATTGTTTGATTGTATTTTAATTTGTCCTTCATTTAAAAAAGATTTGATTAGGCTAACAAATCCTTTATCTATTAATTAAGTACAAATAATTATCGTGAGTACAAGAAGTAAGTACTCAAATAAAAAATGGAGATAGCCCTAGTACTAAAATAATTTTAAAATCTGCGTTTTGTAGAGGACATGTCATTGAATTATCAACACTACATGATAGATAATAAACTTAATTATCACCTAGCTGCTAAATGGGGCCACTGTCGATGTCGAAATCCAAATCCAGAACCGTGCCAGAACCGCACGAGCACCCAGTTAGACTGCGCCCACGCACGGTTCTGATATGGACGGACCAATTCTTCTACCATGCACATCTGTCTGTAAGTAAAGAAAGTGGATTACCATTCATCATGGCGGACTAAGGGGAATGTTTATTTATATTCAGTAGTGGACGTGTCAAGGTGATGACAATGTATAGTTATTTTGATACTATCAACAATAACAACGTCTTCTGCTGCATAATGGTCCATCTCGACTCGAAACTCTTATGCTTGCTATATCCACACAAGGCAGGTATGTCGAAGTTTGCAGTTTCTGTGGTACTGTCTACTTACTGTTTTATAGGCACTCGTTCGATGGCCCTCATGGTGGCTGGTTGAGTAGCAAACGATGCTAGCGTCTGTACTAGAGACTCTCTGGTACTGGCCAGAACTATGCGCTGGTCTGCAAACTCTGCACATAGGAACGCAGCACAAGACACCACGAGCTCCTCCCATTCTGAGAGAAAGAAGGTCTATTAGTCGTTAGAAATAAAGATGAAGATCTCTTTGAAACTGATGTAGGTAAGTCAATTTTGACTTTTCAAGGCAATGGAACTGTTTTTGATATATGGGTACAGACTAGGATTTATGATGACATTATTGATGAAAAATTGGTCTTTAATGCCACTACCAGTTGACAAATAACTGTATGGTGTATCAATAGAGAAACTCAACTATCAATTGTCAACAACATCGTATTGGAGACTCGGTTGCCATAGAAGAAAAAAAAATTTATCAATTGCTAGCAAATATAACATAAAGTTTAATGACAATCTTCACAACTGTCATTAAACTTTATCATCACAGAATTTAAGTGTGGGAGAGCCATGCTTCGGCACGAATGGGCCAGCTCGACCGGATTGATACCACGGCCTCACAGAAAACCGACGTGAAGCAACGCTTGCACGCAGGTTGTGTTTCGTCGTGTGAGTGAGGTTACCGGAGGTCCAATTACCCTCCCCTTCCCCAAATCTCCCCAATCCCTGAATTCCCAACGATCCTCAAACTCCTAATTCCCAAAAGGCCGGTAACTCACTTGTAACGCCTCTGGTGTTCCAGGTGTCCATGGGCGACGCCGATTGCTTACCATCAGGTGATCCGTCGGCTCGTTTACCGGCTTATACCGGATTAAAAAAAACCGTCTTCTCTCTATTTCTGTTCTCACCTGGTATCTGCTGGACGGGTATCGTGGGATGCATGTACAGCCTCAATGTATTGCAGAGCTCCAGCATGGCATCCACATGGTATTCAGGCACGAAGGCGAATAGAGACTCTGCAAATTCTTGACCACCTGTATCTAAGCCATAATAGGCGGTGTATTGAAGTAGCCTTAGCTGGTCACCTTGCTGAATGCTGCTGATAGGCTCATAAAGGTAACTTGAAGGTGCTTAAGATATTCAAAGGAGATTAAGTGATATTCAGAGGCGTTTGGCCTGTACTTGGTTTGGTTTGTACTATGGCCAAAAAACGTCTTCAATCAGACAACGAAAAAAAAACGGTTTCTCGTGGGATATAATATTGGTTAGAATAATTTAGAAAGCTAACTCTGATTAGTGTTAAGATAAAGCTTTTATAGTTATAAGGATATCAAGAAAACATTCTCCAAAAATAGTGAATTCGGAATTTAGAGCAGATGAAAGAGATGCTGGGTTTCAATACTATAGAAAGAAGGCCTTCTTATTCCACTTACGATTAGATGATCCTATTTGTGAGTTCGATCCTGTACGTGGCGTAGTGGCCCTCGACGTCGGACTTTGAGGACTGTAAGTTGAGTATCTATTAACTTTATTAAAGACTGTTAAAAGAAAATTACAAAGGGGGTGCAAGGAAAATTGACTAGGTTGAAAATGAAAATGACGAAGATTTTGAAAATTAATGCAGAGAGCAGCATGAACAGAGAAGCGGATGGGTCATTTCGAATCTATGATTATATAATGAGAACAGATGAAAGTTATTTGACTAATGTAAGAGAATAATTATTCTGGTCGTGTGCGAGGTTATATGCCGTGGCCCCAGCCTAGGGTAGGAGATGGAACGGGATGGTTTTTAATCAATAAGAGGCTGACACTTGAGGTGGTCACTCATTTGATGATATTCTGATCTCATAAAGGTAATGAATACTACTTTCATAAAGAAAAGAGAGATTCAAAAAGAATTACTTATATTTTATGATAAAAAGAAAATCCCACACCTCTGATCTGAACTGGACGTGTATTCCAGCTGTAGAGAGGCATAGCTGGTGCCTCCCAATAAGGAACTCTTGCCAGGGAGTATTTCTTTACTGGCTACTTGCGCATACTAGAACAATTTTGTTTAAGCAATCTATTGATTTACAAAACAACAAGAAAATAACATTCTCTTTAAGATAGTTACATATATGTATTTTTTTCGAAATTTTAAGGAAGATAGAAAAGGGCTAATTCGTAGTTGTAAGAAAGCTACTCTATTCAAAATAGGTATATTAAGTTTGTTCAGTTACAAAATAAATATATTTACTTGAACATGGGTGGCATATTCAGGGTCAGAAGATAGTCTCAGAGAGTGTAGTGTCCCTGAGAAATGTTTCGCCAACTCTGTTTGTCTTTGTTTGGTCCATATTGCACCAATCACCCAGCCCATCTGTAATGCACCGGCTTCTAGTTTCTCCTGGAATACACGAAGCACTCTATAGTATAAAGCGAAGTCACTTTCCGCTGTCTGTCACCATGTACGCTTAGATCCTTAAAACTATGCAATCAAGATTTTGATGCGGTTTTGTTTAATAGACTGCCTCGTTGGCCGGGTTCGATTCCCGGGTCGGGCAAAGTATTATTGGGTTTAAAAAAAATTCTCAGTAATAGCACGGAGTCTGGAATTGTGCCCGGTATATGGCAATAGGCTCACCCCCTATTACATGGGACTCATAACATAAATAGTGAAAAGTGGGTGTTACATTGTACAATGGCATAATGTGCACCTCTGCCTACACCTTCGGGGATAAAAGGATGTTATGTATGTATTTGTTTAATAGATAAAGTGACTTTAAGTTTAAATTAACGATCGATCGGTTAGAATTTAAAGTGTTACATGTTACTATACTGACCTCATATACAGACTTAGATCTCTCCAATTCCTTCAGCATGCCTTCCATGAGCTGTTTCTTCATCTTATCCTGTTCAGTCATGTTCTCGCCACCTGGTGGAAAGATGCTGAACATTTTCATATAAGGAATTGAAATGTATCTACTATCTACTCACATAATAAAGATACAACTGACAATTTCTTTCAATGGCACCTAACTCATTTAAGTAATAAATCCATTTGTATTTAAAAAATGGATCCTATAATGGAGTTTATTCTCAAAGATACTGGCTCAGACTTTAAACCCAAAAGAAGAACAGGTTTTTAACGTTTATATATTTGATATCCTAAATAACGACAGTAAACCATACGTGTAGCCATTTATTAAATACAAATCATCAAAGTTCAAAAATGAAATTAAAATAAAATGAGAATTACGACATAATTTTATTTATTTCGAGTTTTACAAAATAGGGTAGATGACTAATTTTTATTTAAATGTCTGGTAGATTATTTTAAATCATTAGACACGTATTTTTGATTTTCTTACAGAAACAAATACTTTCGATGGTATATTGATTTGAAATGTCGTATGACGTCACTTCTATGTAGGTACATTTTATACTAAGAAATGACGTTTCAGCCCCCAATCCTAAACTTTGATTCGTTTTATCTAAATATTGTTTTATTATACGACACAATAAAAAAATACGTGTCTAATATTTTTTCATTACCTAACTTACGGACTAATTATATTTTAAATTTACACACCTTGTCATCATCCCAATTGCGGAAGGAGGACTTAATGCTAATAGCATTCTCTGCCAGTCATCTTTACTAATATTATAAATCGGAAAGTGAGTTTGTTTGTTTGTTCCGCTTTTACGCCGTAACTACTAAACCGATTACTTTGAATTTTTGCAGACGTAAAGTTAGAAGTCCGGATTACATAATAGGGTACTTTTTATCCCGGAAAAGTTTGATATTCCCGAGGGAAAACAAAAGTATTGATATAGATGGCGCTGTGTGTATTGGTATATGTCACATAGGCTACTTTTTATCCTTTTGTGACGCGAGTGAAGCCGCGGGTAAAAGCTAGTCATAATATAATGTCTCACCTGCAGCCTTCAACTCTGTAGTGACGGTGTATATTCGATGTTCGATGTCATGAAGACAGTCAGCCATGTCTAATTGGTTATCTCTCAGCTCACATAACTGAAATATAATAATAGATAATTAGATATGTAATTAAACGTGCATAATATACCACTGAAAACTTAATACATGACATTGTTAAGTGACTGAGAAAGATGATAATAGACTTACAAATATTTTGTCTAACCTAAGAATCAAAAGACGATAGGCGGGCCAAAATAGGCCAATATTGATTTCTGGGCTTGCCAGATATTATTTAGCAATCAATCAATTAATTCAAATAACAATATTGGCACATGAGAAGAAAAAATCAAAGTAAGTACGTAACAAAAATGTCTGAAATGTTATGTAAATAAAATTATTTACATAACATAACATACATAACATCACGCCTTTCATTCTCGAAGGTGTAGGCAGAGGTGCACATTATACCACTGTACTTACAATGTAACACTCACTTTTCATTATTTATGTTACGAGTCCCATGTAATAGGGGGTGAGCCTATTGCCACATACCGGACACAATTCCAGACTTCGTGCTACTACTGAGATTTTTTTTAAAAACCTACTAATACTTTGCCCGACCCGGGAATCAAACCTGAGACCCCTTGCTCGGCAGTCGCACTTGCGACCACTCGGCCAACGAGGCAGTCCATTTTATATATTTTTCAAATTCATATATTACAATATAATAACTGTAGGAAGGTGTCCCGCCTTACCTTCTCAGCATGTTTGATAGCGGCACCGTGGTATAGTGCCAGGAGTCCGTCTACCAACCGAAGATATGCTGACCTGATGTCTATGGACCCAGCTCCAGGCATCATAGACCGAGTGCCTTTGATAGCTAACGCCGTTTCTCCTGTAGTTCTGAACATAATATTAAAATATATATATATGTCGAAGCGTCAACGCATATCAATTAATTTAGATGTGGCAACTATTGTTTGAGAACGTCAAGTAATTACTTGATGGTTAGCGCGGAGTAATGGCAACACCGATGGAAATATCGATCCGGAAGTTTAATCAGACTTTGACATTTGACAGCAAATGACGTTGACAGACGTCACTGAGCGCGGGAAACACTTTTGGAAAGGATCGCGGCGATGGCGGCAGCTACTTACTCCCCGCTAAACTTACTGCGTTCTTACTATTATAAGTAATTTGGTGTGATTCAACAATGTCGCGACCCACCATTACATAAGATACGTAGGTGAAAAATACATAATAAGACAGCTCTGCAGGGCTCTTGTCTGTCATGAGCTTATTAAATCGTTTTGAATGATACGAAATTGATTTTTCTTTAAGATCCTACTACGGCGTAGCATCCGTAGCGTGGCTACGCCGTAGCAAGTCTGGTGTAGCATATTTATAATTTTGTATATTTTTTTTATTATGATTATTTTTGTAGGTACTATAATTATGTTATAATCTATACCTCTATAGACATACCTACGAAAAAGTTATTAACCATGTAAGACAGATCAAATACCACGTATAGAACTTTTCTAACCATTATGGTTTAAATTTAAAAAAATTCTCATTACCTATTTGGTACTGGTGGCATAGGCGGATGCATGAACCTGGCCATTGAGGATATGACTTGAGGGAGAGTCGCCAACCCTGGAGATCCAGCAGCCATATCACTGACACCTGAACATTTTTGAAATTTTTTGTCAGGTAACAACTTTTTTTATGTGTATCGATGGAGTTCCGATAGATTATTCATTCAACATTGTTCTTCATTTCAAGGAATTCTAAATCAATTAAAAATACTAGTTTACTCATGAAGCGGCGTCCGACGTCGCGCAGCCTACTATCCGTTCTCAATATTTTACTTGAGTAAACCGGCATTTTTAATTAATTTAGTATGTCTCACGATAGCTATTATACAAAGACTTTCTTATCATCATTTCTTTTCTTCTTTGTTCTGTGTCTAATGTCCTCCTTTCTAAATGATAAAAAAACAGAGATGAGGCTTCCTTATTCTAAGTGGGAATTCCTGAATACGTCGATGTTTGGGAAACCAACCGCGCAGTGAATTCGGGTGGACTGACCGCAACTGTCGCGCACTCACCTCGCCAGCCAAGCGAGCCAAGTTCTGCACGCCTAGTCACATTATAAATAAATGTAAATAAATAATAACAAAGACTCTCGTCACGTGGGAGTCCCATACTTATTACAAATGGATCAACTCTACCGGAATGATACTACGGCTTCAATGAAAACCAGTTTTAAGCAACAGTTTTTTAAGGGGGGGAAGATCATCTAATGACTTCTCCCGAGTGTCAGACTCTTACTGACTAAAAACCACTCCGTTCCTACTCCTGCACTTCGAGCCGGAGCCCCGGCACCCCGTTAAATCCTCCACGGTTGTATTAGCAACGCTTGCATTGTGTTTTTCTGTGTGAGTCAGGTTATCGTCCCAAAATGGCGAGCAACGCACTTGAACTCCTCGGTGGTGTTGCGTATGTCCAAGGGCTGGCTGATTGGTTACGATCAGGACTGAACACAGTCCGCTCGTTTGCCCGTCTGCAATCTGCATAATTCAGCATTACGTTGAATGATAAGAATTATGCATAAATTAGTAGTACAATAACATTCATAAGCAATCTTAGAAGAGAGTACGTATAAATACCAGTATCAATGCCACCAGCTCGATTGTAGTTGGGTTCGAAGCTTTGTATGAAGGGATTGTCCTCGCCCAAGACACCGACAAGATCTTGCCTGCAAACAATATATTTTGATAATAGCAATAGAATTAGTAAAACTTGAAGTCATAAGACTCTACTAACTATACTATGACGCTCAAAGAGATAATGCCACCTTCACAAATTTCTTTCAGGTATATAATTGCAGACCTTTACATAGCTCTCTCAGTCGAAATAAATATTTGTTTATAGCCAAATAGTAGCTGAAGATTACTTAACTTCTTAGGTGGCTGGTCTGGTCAGGAATAGAGGAGGAGAAAGGAGAAAGAACTCCTTTTGGCGTGGGCATTTTGCCTCCATGTTATTTTTTTATTATTATTTTCTATATTTTTTGTAGTTGTTTTTAGTGTTTTTTCGTTTCACCACTCTTTCTGTTTGTGTATATGGTGCATCATGTCTAATGGGGAATAAATTGAATACCTTAATGTCCTAACTAAGAACGGCAGGACTCCTCCAAGACGGTCAACATTGTAGAAGTCCAGCTCTCCGTCTATAAATGTCCTGGCAGGTAGGTGAGGAGGCGCCTGCCTGGAAATGTAAAAATGTTAATATATCGTAACGTATCCTAAGTAAGGATTAATTATATAGTTGTTCTTAAGCACGAAAGACTGCAAGTGGAATAGGATCACTATATAGGAATTCAATTAAAAGTAACCGTAGATACTCTAAAAATTTATTCAAATCAGCTACATAAACTTGATGGCACGGTTGGTGCGGTGGCTGGGCAACCGGCTGCCGCGCAACGTGTCGCCAGTCGATTCCCGCGCGGTGTAATTCTTTGTGTGATCCACAAATTGTTGTTCCTGGTCTGAATATCATATGTATGTGAACTTGTATGTTTGTAAACGCACCAACGACACAGGAGCAAATCCTAGTGTAAGGGAACGTTAACAAAAACAAACTCAATAAGAAAAGACGTATCTATATGCTTTTTGTCATTTGTTAAGTGTACTGAAACATTGTATTATTATAGCCGGAGTCGGAGGATACTGGAGTCTGTAATTTCACAGGCTCCCTACTACTCCTAGATAAATACATATCTGTTGAAAATTATCTATATGACATCTGTATATATAAGCAGTCATTATATCTGTTACACAATATAAATGTACCATAGAAACGTTTAGTATTACGTTTTATAATGGAAATAGTTTCGCGTGACATTATTGTTGGCGCGGCGCTGGCCGGGCGGAGACGTGTGAATTGCTATTTAAAGATAAGGAGCCTTTATACCCTTATCAGACGTGACTAGATTTATACGAGGGTGTGTGTTTATTAAAATATATGCATTCTCTACGTTTCCTACATAATATATATTTCGTATACCTGGCTTACACTGAGTGGGTAACCCATTTAGCATAGGCATGTTATCAGCGTCTCTTTTCTAATTCTTCTGTTCTATTTTTTTAACTTAATATTTTTCTTACTTCCACTGTCACATCTTTTTTGTATTTTTTATATTTTACTTATGCTGCATCGTGCCTGGTGCTAAATAAATGTATTTTATTTCTTTTTTTCCATATACACGGAACTCTCACAAAATGCTGACAAAAATAAATTGATGTGCTATGTTATTGTTTTCTTGTTATTCATGCAACACCAGCCTTGAGCAGTTGATTACAACTATTATTACATTGAAGAAACATTTAATTCCTTACTTTTATTGAAATAAAACTTGTTTTTTTACCTGTTGGCCTTTTTGAGAGCCTTCAATTTAGACCTTTCGTTAAGATGCGTGCACAAAATGAAATGTTTTTTAACACATGAATGAATAAAATAATAGATTTAGAGATTTATATATAATTTGTTTATTTATTTCAACTTCATACAACAAGTGTGTACAGGTGGACTTAATGCCTTGGGCATTGTCTCCCAGTCAACCTTTAAGCAGTGCAGAGATGAAAGTAGCAGGTGATTTAAACTTTTATAAATATAATATTAATATTTTACTGCCTCGTTGGCCGAGTGGTCGCAATCGCGACTGCCGGGTAAGGGGTCTCGGGTTCGATTCCCGGGACGCGCAAAGTATTACTGGGTTTTTAAAAAAATCTCAGTAGTAGCACGGAGTCTGGAACTGTGCCCGGTATATGGCAATTAGCCTTTTTCCTGGGAAGATTAAAAAAAAATCCGCTAGGGGCAGCACCGGTGGGGGGTACATATGTTTTGAATTCTCTATTGACAACAACGTCAAACGTGTATTAAAATTTTTTTTTATCACAATATTTATTTATTCTGATAATAATAAGACGTACGTTTATCTTCCCAGGAAAAAGGCTAATAGGCTCACCCCCTATTACATGGGACTCATAACATAAATAGTGAAAAGTGGGTGTTACATTGTACAGTGGTATAATGTGCACCTCTGCCTACCCCTTCGAGGATAAAAGGCGTGATGTTATGTATTAATAATTTAAATATGTTTTTTATTTAATTGAATTTCACGCTTGACGCATTATACACATTACAAAACATGCTAAAATAAAAAAACAAAACAAAAAAGAAAAAATAATATCTTATATTAAAACCTTATACTAACCCTGCATTACCAATAGGGTTCTCGTTCCCCAGCCTCAGTACCGCAGTCAGCAGGCGAGAGTGACAGCACCACGATATCGCCGGCGAGTTCCGCGATATGTTGAACAGCCTCTGAAATATGGCCTCCTGAAACTTTTTATCATGAAATTCGTTTTTTAACTACCCAATACAAGTTTAAACTGTCAAACACCGCGAGGACACCGGTGACCGCAACCTATTGTTCTTTAATTGTGTCTATAAATACGGTACTCGACGAGTTAAACTGTCAAACACCGCGAGGACACCGGTGACCGCAACCTATTGTTCTTTAATTGTGTCTATAAATACGGTACTCGACGAGTTAAACTGTCAAACACCGCGAGGACACCGGTGACCGCAACCTATTGTTCTTTAATTGTGTCTATAATTTTTTTTTAAACAAATTTTTTCATTGCATTTTTACATAGGTATGGCCTTTAAATATAAACTCGCCAAACTTTGACATTAATGATGGCGAAATATAAAATATAATGACGGTACTCAAAGGGTTAAACAGATATGATACTTAACTAAAAATCTCGGGTTAGTCAAATACTCACGTGAAATTACTGAGAAAAGCTCTACTAGCTTCGAGCCGCGAGGGCTCTTCCTCATGAACAGCGTGCGCGGTCATGGCGAGGTCGCGCAGCCTACTCACGCTTTTTTAGGTAATTCAGTATGTCTTACGATAATTATTATAAAAACAGCAGCTGTAGCCAAATGCCATTTAGCACTTATCTATTTGTAGAGTAGAAAACCAAATTATATGGAATTGACGTAAATTTCGACACTTGTCAGTGTCATCCCCATACATTTAGTTTTCTACTCTCTCTGTAGACAAGCGCTAAAGTGGCGTTTGGCTAAAGGCATTGATATGATACTTGTTAATAGGTTTTGTAAAGGTGTAATTTAATGATGAAATGTCAATGAAGGTATTTAGTATATGCTTCGGTACGAATGGGCCGGTTCGACCGGAGTGACACCACGGCCTCACAAAAAACCGACGTGAAACGTTGTGTTTCGTCATGTGAGTGAGGTTACCGGAGGCGCAATTACCATATACTTACCATATTATTATAATTACCATATAACAGACCCTCCAATTTTATTTATCTGTATAGATATTGAACGAATTTTCCTTACGAGGGAATTTGAGACTTACAATTTCAAATTATAAGTTAAAAGTCGCCAATTAGCCTTAAACGAAGTGTGATGATTTAATGCTCTTTCCTTCTTTGCATGAGAAGATACTTTAGTCTAGTAGTGGATAAGTTGCAGGCTGATAATTGTGACAATGATAGTATGAACTTTACTTACAATAACAATAACAATTATAAATTCATTTAAAGAAGTAAGTACATCTGTGGTAGTTACCATATCCAGAATGCAGTTGTCCATGATGTACCTTCGGAACTTCTCCAGGAATATCTTCCTGGTAGAGGGCACCATATTTGTACCATCAGTGTTGTCCAGGAGTAGCAGTAGAAACTCTAGCTGTTGGGTAAGATGAAGTTATTGCTTAATATAAAGAAGTTGCACTAACCGCCGTACTCAAAGTCAAAGTCAAAGTCAAAATAATTTATTTCGATTAGACCAGGATGGCACTTTTGAATGTCAAAAAAAATTAAAAATGACGCTAGTCATTTGCTCATTCCAAGGTTTAGATTCCTATGTAGAAGAACGAGCAAGAAACTCCATAGGTTACTCTTTTTCAATCAGGTTCACAATACAATTCTCTAGTTACATAGCTTTGTTGGTTCGATAGCGCGAGAACTATGTAACACCAAAATCCAGTCAAAGAGATCGAAAAAGAAAATAGACGCAAAGTCATATAACGGTTACTTGACTTATGGGATAAGCCGGTAAACGAGCAGACGGATCACCTGATGGTAAGCAATCGGCGTCACCCATGGACACCTGGAACACTAAAGGCGTTACAGGTGCGTTATCAGCCTTTTGATGAATCAAATGATATGAATATGACTGCCTCGTTGGCTGAATGGGCAAGTGCTTAGAATGATCAGAAAATGCAGGTCTCAGTTCACACCCAGTCCAGCAGTGTACTGTAATGACCTGACGTTGTTGTTACATTAAGATACTAATACGTTCCTTGCACATACACAACACGTTGGGAACTGTACTCAAATAAAAATAAAGGTCAGTTTCCTAACCTTGAAACTTACATTCAATAAATAACTTTAAATACCTCAATACACAGTCACATTTCCTTTGCCAAATTAGTTTGAAAACGTCGACACAATCTACCACGAAGCGAAATAAAATCAGCAAATATGTACTGTAGCCAGTTACTTTGCATAACAACTGCAGTTTGAGGGAATGTTGCCAAAATCGGATATATTCGTGACCTAGGTATTGAACCATGAACTTTAGGTTTTAGGCTTTAATAGTTATTGGTTTGGCACACAGTATGTAGACAGATCATGTCAGAAGGGTAGGGAAAGAAGTATGGTAAGCGTTACAAAAAGAGATCACATAAGATCAGCAGTTTATATACGAACCATAACCAAGGTAGAAGATATAATAAAGAAAGTAATGTCGGAATACTGAAACGCTACTCAATTTTAAGTCGTGCTTAAGTATAGTTCTATCTCTACAAATTCTTTGTAAAATGACAGAGATGGCACGATATTTACTGCTAAAATTATATTTACTGCTAAAATAGAGTTGGACAGGACATATGTCAAGAGATAGTAGAACAAAATAGACCAAAATCGTAACAGAGTGGTATCCACAGGATGGTAAAAGAAGAAGAGGCAGACAGACAAAAAGATGGATGGATGATGTACCTAACTAAAGTCGGAGAGGCTACGTGGATAAGAAAAGCTAGAGACAGAGACGAGTGGAAAAAATTGAAAGAGGCCTACGTCTCACAGGACATGCTTATTACTAATTTAGGATAACTGATGTGTTCGTTAATAAGTTAGATTAATGTTACTGATTGTATCGTTTTTAGCAATAAAGGCTTATTATTATTATTATGTAGACAGATAAAATATGGTTAGTTTAGCTCGTCGCTGTGATAAAGATACAGATATTTGAAAAAGAGCATAACATGGCTCTAATCCCCGATAGATAGAAGTACACAATCTACTATCTACTAATATTGACTGCCTCGTTGCCTGAGTGGTCGCAAGTGCGACTGCCGGGCAAGGGGTCTCTGGTTCGATTCCCGGGTCGGGCAAAGAATTACTGGGTTTTAAAAAAAATATCAGTTGTAGTACGGAGTCTGGAATATGCCCGGTAAATGGCAATAGGCTCACCCCCTATTACATGGGACTCATAACATAAATCGTGAAAAGTGGATGTTACATTGTTACAATGTACACCTCTGCCTACCCCTTCGAGGATAAAAGGAGTGCAAAGGTGCACATTATGCCACTGTACAGTGTGACACCCACTTTTCACGATTTATGTTATGAGCCCCATGTAATAGGGGTGAGCCTATTGCCATATACCGGGCACAGTTCCAGACTCTGTACTACTACTGAGAATTTCTATAGTAGTATTGCTATAGTATAATTTGTTTTTTTAAACCTGTATTTGTTCTAACGGTGCGATGGCCTTGGTGATCTTGTTGCAGTCTTCTCGATACTGCGCCTCCAGCGCGGCGTCGTCCTGGGCTGCTGACATCAACTTTGAAATCTTATCTGAAAACATTTCATATAACATTTTATTCATTGAAGGGGTAGCCATAGGTCATAGTCTAACCGCATCATCGCTTACCACCAGGCGAGATAGTGGTCAAACGTCGGCCCATCATATATATATATATATATATATATACTAGCAAACCCAGCGACGTCCGTTTCGCCACCAGATGGTTTGGCTGATGATTAAAAGTGAATTTTCTTTGCTATAAACCTCATGGATCCCGAGACCGCTCCAACGAATGCAAAACCGTGGAAATCGGTTCATGCGTTCTGGAGTTATAGCGGCAGAAAGGAAAATATCATGTAACACTGTGTTTTATAGAAAAAACTCAACGAACTGACCGACAGACATTCTAAAATAAATAAATAAAATAGTTAAAAGTTCTCATGAGTAGTAGTGGCGTGTTAACAACATTATTATTAACTAGATTCTGCTCACGACTTCGTATGCGAAATCTTGTGTTCTCCCGTTCCCGTAGGATTCTCAAATAATTCTAATAATAACAATAAATAAAGAAATCGGTCCAGCCATTCACGCGTGATGCCGTGACCAAGGGAAAAATGGATTCATTTATATATATGTATAGATTGTGACTTTACCTGTGCTAGTTGGAGAAAATGGCGAACTCTTAATGGTCCCTTTTTCAGTCATTTCTGTGAAAAGTATATTAAATTATTATATTAAACATACCTTCGAATCAACCCATTGTCGCTTACAATTAGCGCAAAGGTCCGTCTTTGTCTGTGTCTAATTTTGAGCCTAAATTCCGAATTGGAGCCAACATTTGATCCAAATAGTTGGTAATATCGTTATTGGAACGATGTCTGTCTAAAGGTCGCATTAGATTGGGAACAAAGGTCGATGTGATTGAACTCACAAGATCTATATATGTAACTACTAGCTTCTACCGGCGGCTTTGCCTGTGTTTCCTTGGGATAAAAAGTGGCATATAATTATGTTATTCCAGATCAGATCTACCCCTGTCCCAAATTTTATCTCGATCCCTTCAGCCGTTTTGACGTGAACGAGTCATAAACAAACAAACAAACAAACAAACACAAAATATTAGTAGGATTCAAAGAAATACTTATGTTGTTTTTATTAATAATAATTATACAAACATAACATAACATAACACAACATAACATCACGCCTTTTATCCTCAAAGGGGTAGGCAGAGGTGCACATTATACCACTGTACAATGTAACACCCACTTTTCACTATTTATGTTACGAGTCCCATGTAATAGGGGGTGAGCCTATTGCCATATACCGGGCACAATTCCAGACTCCGTGCTACTACTGAGATTTTTTTAAAAACCCAGTAATACTTTGCCCGACCCGGGAATCGAACCCGAGACCCCTTGCTCGGCAGTCGCAATTGCGACCACTCGGCCAACGGTAATAATTATACACTAAATTAATATTATATTAGATTACTGAAAGATTGAGATTTTCATTTGTTTATCTTTCTGGGAGATTGCAGATACGATCACTTGATGAAGAACAAAGAAATGAAATAACTAGATATTGTACATTCATGGGAAGTTATCTGTAATAGACGTCATTTTGAGAACGAAATATAGGGGGTTCTTCAGTTAGGTAAAGTGACGGTGTTTCAGATTGTCGTCATGGTGGCCCGGAGGTTTAAGACGCCCGCTTCTCATGCATGAGGTTGCGGGTTCGAAACCTACCAACGGCAAGTACCAATGTGACTTTTTCCGAGTTATATGTACTTTCTAAGATTATTCAGACACCACTGAAAAACGGTGAAGGAAATCATCGTGAGGAAACCTGGGTTTATAATTTCTAATTATAAGTTCGTAATCGCCAACCCGCATTGAGCAAGCGTGGTGATTAATGCTCAAACCTTCTCTGTGTGAGAAGAGGCTTTGCTCAGCAGTGGGCATTTATAGGCTGTTGATGAATGAAAAATGTTCCAGATTGAGAACAGAAAGGCGCTATTGGAGAGGTGTATACCAAATACCTAGAGGATCAAAAAATACTGAAGATGCTGACGATGATGGTGATAATGACAATGAAAGCTTCCAATAGTTACCAGCTATTCTGGGATCAGTTTCTCCGTGGACAGAGGTCGGTCGTTGCCACCACGGCTTCCTGATGACTGTCCGAAGCACTGTGTCGTCTGGACACTTCACGTTTAAGAAGTTGTCGAATCTGGAACGTAGTATTATAACTTAGACATTTAACGTTTGTCATTCTTATGTTATTATCGACAGCATCTGTCAATCATAGTTTTGCACGTATGAATAACTATAGATGGACGAAATGGATAACTACTTGAAAGGGGCCGTCAGGAAAGAGAAAGCGAGGTAGACCAAGGGAGAGGTGGCTTGATGAAATACTGAACACAGTGGGAAGTGACTGGTCAGAAAAGGCTTTAGACAGAGATCAATGGAGAAAAATGGAAGAGGCCTTTACTCTGTAGAGAGGTCCTTAATAAATATAAATATTACATTTTTATATACATGAAAATCAACTACTTATTTATAAATTTTGTGTTGTATATTTTTTCTCTAAACTTTAAACTAAAAATCTTAAATTGTTACTACAAATTTATATAAATTCGATACTGTAAAAAAAAAACTTTGTAAATCGATTAATAAGGAATAAATGAGGCTTTATTATTATTATTATCCATATATTTAATATTATTATTCTTATGTTATTTCTTTGCGATAGGAGTTAAATAATCCGACGCTATCTCCACTTATCAGTAGTATCGTAATTAGCTCTACTTAAATCTCTGCTTAATTGAGAAAAATATTAAGGAAGTAGTGGTAAACATAAGAAAAACTAACAAGGTGTGCTAACATAACATAACATCACGCCTTTTATCTCCGAAGGGGTAGGCAGAGGTGCACATTATGCCACTGTACAATGTAACACCCACTTTACACGATTTATGTTATGAGTCCCATGTAATAGGGGGTGAGCCTATTGCCATATACCGGGCACATTTCCAGACTCCGTGCTACTACTGAGATTTTTCTAAAAACCCAGTAATACTTTGCCCGACCCGGGACTCGAACCCGAGACCCCTTGCCCGGCAGTCACACTTGCGACCACTCGGCCAACGAGGCAGCAAGGTGTGCTAAATATGGAAAAAAATATTTTAAAAATGGGTGTGTTTACAAACATACAAATTCACATAGACATGACACACAGACTCGGAACAACAATCTGTGGATCACACAAAGAGTTGTTCTGTGTGGGCATCGAACCCGCGACACGTTGCGCGGAAGCCAGTTGCCCAACAACAGCGCCAACCGTGCAATGGGGATGATGACAGGGTATGAAAATTAAAAATATAATTAGTCCGTAAGTTAGGTAATGAAAAAATATTAGACACGTATTTTTTTATTTTGTCGTATAATAAAACAATACTTAGATAAAACGAATCAAAGTTTAGGAGTGGGGGCTAAAACGTCATTCCTTAGTATAAAATGTACTGAGAAGTGACGTCACGCGACATTTCAAATCAATATATCTTCGAAACTATTCGTTTCTGTGAGAAAATAAAAAATACGTGTCTAATGTTTTTAAATAATCTATCAGACGGACATTAAATAAAAATTAGTCGTCTACCCCATTACTTCAGTCAGAGAATATCAGTTGGATTAATTCTTACGTGATCTTATTGAAGAAGACATATTTGACGAGATGGTGCCTGGTCTCCCGGTGCTGCATCAGACCGCACAGTACGAAGACGCCTTCTATTTGTTGGTTGAAGTACATATCCTGGCCATCAAAATATAATATTTTTGTCAAGTAGCCAACATTTTTGATAAGATTTAGTTTTGCAAATGACTCCCTGCTGCATCATTTTTAGATCTCACAACGTTTATGTGGTCATTCACCCAGTTTTTAGCATTTAAAGTTTATTGCCCAAACTGACAAACTAAAGCTGGGGATACCGTGGACAGCTTGCCGTACAAATGTTTCTATTCTGAAAGAGTTAAAAATGGACAAAACTTTGCGCTTCTCCACAGTTTGCTTGCAAAGGATTGTGCGATACTTTGGCCATATTGCTCGCAGAGATGCTGGCAGTCTGGAACGCCTCATAGTGACTGGTATGGTAGAAGGAAAGAGACCGAGAGGCCGGATTCCCATATGGTGGTCTGACCAAATATCCAAGGAGCTGGAGATACCTATAATTGTTGCAATGCACCAAGCAACGGAACGAGATAAGTGGCGACATCTAGTGAGAATCAGAGGTAGTCACAATACTTAGCATTAAAGAAATCGACTAAGAAGAAGCCCAAACTTGGCGTTCTGATTAACTCAATAACACTTTGTCCGTCCTTAAAACTGAACTCATTTTTTATACTTAACTAGCTACTTCCGCGCGGTTTCACACGCTCTGCTCAGCACCTATTGGTTATAGCGTGATGTTTTATAGCCTATAGCCATCCTCGATAAATGCGCTATCCAACACATAAAGAATTATTCAAATCAAACTTGTAGTTACGGAGATTAGCGCATTCAAACAAACAAACAAACTCTTCCGCTTTATATAATAGTATAAGTATAGTATAAGTATAAGATAGGTCTTAACTCAAGACTTTATGCTCGTTATACCTGTAGTTCATCATCAAAACATTTTTGAAATCTTTCTTAGAAAACTGTTTTACAGATATCCCACCTGAGAAACCAAATCAAATAGCAGGCACTCTCTGACCACGCAATGTTCGAGAACATCACACAAAGCAGATTCATCCAGAAATGTCCACAGTAGGTCCAGCATAGTACACAGACGAGGGTGGGGCTGAGACAGGAATTTTGCTGCAAGACCCGTCTGGAAATAGAAGAATGGTGTTTTAAATAGGAATTTAAAAAAGGCTATTTGGGCTAAGATTACATTTGTAGATACTCGTGTTACGAGTGCCTAAGGTCTACGCTGAGTACCACAATAAGAATGTGGTAAAATCTTTATCTTGAAAATTATTTTTTTATATATTTTTTGTTAATGCTTTATTTGTTTGTTTTATATTTATCTGTGTATTTGGTGCGTCGTGCATGCTTAATGGAATTCGCCATAAAATTATTATTCTTCCTCTCTTTTTTCTTTCTGTAAATACATTGTTACATACAGAGTTTGCCATAATATCCATGCGTCTTGTTTGGGATAATTATTTACGTAGGACTATTTTGGGTTACAATTATTATGAGCACTTCTACCGAACTGCCTGTTAGGTGGCAGTTAGGTAGGTAGGTAGGTGGAATTAAAGGCGTGATTTTATAATAGACATTAACAAATTAAATTAACACGTTCACCAAGTATTTCTACGAACAATTTGTAGGTAGTGGACCAGTTAATTTAATTCAAAAGTGCCACTCCGGAGGTGGCCCAAATCGAGGAATATTTTAAACCCGACCAAAGGTCGTTGGGAACGAAAGGTCATCGACAAATTTAGAAATGTTTTGCAGACCTTTGCAGAGTATGATAATATGCGATGATGTTTTTGAATCAATTAATCCATGTTTGCTGAGTGCTTAGGGAGGACTACTGAATACTTAGCGAGGATTTAGCGGTTCATTTTTTAAGGAGAAGAGGTCAGCTACAATCCAATATTAGTTTATCCCCCGTGGAAGGTGGTGTTAGTAATGTGTTATCCCCATTGTTAAGTTGTTCTTGCAATCTTGTTATTTTCAATTTTTAGAACAGTAAATAGTCACATGATGTGCGCTGAAAACAAGTGTGACAGAAGAAAGTATAATAGTTATAACGTAACCTACAACCCTACCACCGTGAGCGCGGGTCTGCGGACGGCGAGCATGGGTGGCTCGCCACCCGACCAGAACCAATCCCGAGCGTACGGCGCGTTGCGTTCCGCGCGCGCCTCAAGGAGCCATACACCACCTGGGGTGGGGCCCAATAGGGCTGATGCCGATACGGAGCCGCGGAGGACTTAACGGGTTCCGGCTCGAAAGGCAGGAGTAGGAACGGGGTGGTTTTTAGTCAGTAAGAGTCTGACACTCCCTCTCGCCTCACCCAGGCGGGAGCAGGCATTCGATGATTTTCCCCCCTTAAAAAAAACCCACAAATATTCACAGCTAGACAAAATTACGTCCAAATACTGAAAAGCTACTCAATATTAAGTAGGTACTTAAATACCGTGTTATCTCTGTCATTTTACAAAGAATTTATAGTGACAGAACTACCTATTTTTGACTGCATGGTTGGTGCGGTGGCTGGGCAACCGGCTGCCGTGCAACCTGTCGCGGGTTCGATTCCCGTACGGAACAACACTTTGTGTGATCCACAAATTGTTGTTTCGGGTCTGGGATGTGTATGTGAACTTGTATGTTTGTAAACGCACCCACGACACAGGAGATAATACTAGTGTAGGGCAACGTTTAAAAAAAAAGAAGAACCTATACTTAAGTATTTAAGCGCGACTTAAATTGTCGTTGGAGGTTTTCAGCGTTAGTGTTAAAAAGATTTAAGAGCTCTTCTTTTGAAATAAGTTATGCTTACAAAATTCTCGTCCCGGCACTTCATATAGAAATCAGCGGCGTGTTGGTCCACGTGTATGCTCCTGGACTTCAAGCCAATGAGTCCACGGAACCGAGGCAGCAGTTCTGATACCACCACATATGACATACGGAGAGTGGTACCTAATTCCACTACTACTAATCTTGATAGTGACATTAGGAATGCCTGTGAACATAGAAGAAGTAAATTTATTAAAATGTGTAGCTTCCTCATAGCCATATTTTGACAAATGGTTAAATTAAAAGCAGCCTCTATTGACGACTTTGAGGAGATTGAGTACCATCTATAGTGATAAACAATTAAAATGGTAACTCTAATATATTTCGTCTAACATAATAACAAAATAGTAAGTTCAATAATATAATTGAACTAATTTATAGCAAATAACAAAATTATAATAATAATATATGCTTTATTGTACACCACACAATCACATTATAGGATAAATATTAACAAAAATAGTGTACAATGGGCGGTCTTATCGCACAAGGCGATTTCTTACAGACAACCTTTGGATGGAGCAGTAATAGGAGTCTGATATGGGTCGTCTAGTGTACAATTATTAATAACTTTATAAAATACTATACATATAATACAAAAATACAACTACAACTCAAAAAAAAATAAAAAATAAAAATAAAATAATATACAATATACAATATGATACATAAATTACATAATGGTGTGTATTTGTGCATGTGTGTGTATGTGTGTGTGTGGTTAAGATAAATAATGGGTTGTTATATTTTATAAAACAAGATTCTTCCTCTCTTCTACGTTGCCGTGCCCGACAAGGTTTTATGAAACATATAGAGTGCAATAAAATATTGAGTATTGATGAAAGTAGAGGAAGGGACTGAACGATATGATGACGGTGGTCTCTGATCACGAATGTGTACTATTTCGAGGAAACCCTACTAGTTTCAAGTCTCTGTGGGACTTACAATCATTCACGCTGCGGCGATACATCACACAGTCAATAGACTTACAGTCAATAGATTAAATCTTGCAAAGATTGAATTCGTAGTGAGACTGCCTCGTAAGCCGAGTGGTCGCAAGTGCGACTGCCGGGCAAGGGGTCTCGGGTTCGATTCCCGAGTAGGGCAAAGTATTACAAGGTTTTTAAAAAAATCTCTGTAGTAGCACGGAGTCTAGAATTGTGCCCGGTATATGGCAATAGGCTCACCCCCTATTACATAGGACTCATAACATAAATCGTGAAAAGTGGGTGTTACACTGTACAGTGGCATAATGTGCACCTCTGCCTAAAAGGCGTGATGTTATGTTTGAATTATACAAAGCTACTAGTAAAAGTAGGTCATAAATACTTACTTTTTTTGACATTTTCTTAACTTCTGTATTCTGTGGATCGACTAATGTGTGTGGTGATGGACGTGGAGTGTAAACAGATCCTGAACTGTGGATCCTCAGGGCCACCTCCTCCTCAGGTTTTGATGTATCTGATTTGGCCTGGTAACAATAAACAACTTCATTATTTCTACTTGTTTAAACTTTATCTATAACATAGAAAAATCTTTTGTAACCAACGTTTGAAGAAACCGACTTCAACCCCCTAGTTTTTGAAGTCGGTTATTCAGTAGGTACACTAAAACCTTCTCCTACGTGTCACACTTCTCTGAAAACTGCATTAAAATCGGTTCAACCAATCGCGAGATAATCGTGCACAAACATACATACATACATACAAACATACATACATCACATACATACATACATACATACATACATACATACATATATACATACATACATACATACATACACTTTTTTAAAGGGGGGAAAATTATCGAATGTCTGCTCCCGCTTGGGTGAGGCGGGAGGGAGGGTCAGACTCTTACTGGCTAAAAACCACCCCGTTTCTTCTCCTACACGTTGAACCGGAGCCCCGGTAACCCGTCAGGTTCTCCGCGACAACACACTAGCGACCCGCCCCGGATTTTCACACCTTCCTTAAGAATAACTCTATCTATTAAAAAAACCGCATCAAAATCCGTTGCGTTGTTTTAAAGATCTAAGCATACATAGGGACAGACAGACGGCGGATAGCGACATTGTTTTATATTATGTAGTGATACTATGTACACACAGGCCAAACAAAACTTTTTCTTTTTCGAAGTCAGTTGAAAATTGAAGCATAGAATAGCATGATCTCAAAATACCTTACTACTCTTAGCAGTGAGCGAAGTCTTCATATCTGAAGGTCGTACCAGTTCATCCAGCAGTGCTTCCAGCGACTTGAAGAGTATTGCGGCGCGCGCGCATTCCCTGTTGGGAGGAGCTTGCAATGCTGCGTAACCTTCTACTGGAAACCTGTAGTTACAGAAATAAGGAAAAAAATATGGAAATAATTGTCACTTACCAAGTATAAAAACAATTAAAAAATGTCCCTTCCCCAATCTCCCCAATCTCCGCAATCCTAATCCCCAAAAAGCCGGTTACGCACTTGTAACGTCTCTGGTGTTCCAGGTGTCCATGGGCGACGCCGATTGCTTACCATCAGGTTATCCGTCTGCTTGTTCACCGGCTTATGCCATAAAAAATATATACAAACAATTTGCAAATTCACATTAAAATCAACATTATTTTATGGCAGACGGAAATATTGTTTTTACTTTCGTTAAATACGATTTTGATTTGGTTCATCAACAGCCGGAAGACGTCCACTGCTGGACAAAGGCCTCCCCCTTAGCCCTCCACGTCGAACGACAACTCGCCACCCGCATCCACTGGCTCCCCGCAACTCGCGATGTCGTCGCCACCTACGGGAGGCCTGCCCATTCGTCTTCCGGTCCGTGGTCTCCACTCAAGGACTTTCCTGGCCCATCTGCCGTCAGTCCTTCGAGCGACGTGGCCTGCCCATTGCCACTTCAGTCTGCAGATTTTGCGAGCTATGTCGGTAACTCTTGTTCTTTGGCGAATCTCCATATTTCGGACTTTGTCGATTGACATTTGATTTGGTTCATAACTTATATATTGATTGACTGCACGGTTGGCGCGGCGGTTGGGCAACTGACTGCCGCGCAACGTGTCGCGGGTTCGATTCTCGCACGGAACAACTCTTTGTGTAATCTACAGATTGTTGTTCCGGGTCTGGATGTCATGTGTATGTGAACTTGTATGTTTGTAAACGCACCCACGACACAGGAGAAAATCTTAGTGTGGGACAACGTTTAAAAAAATAATGAATATAACATAAAATATCGAAAAATACTAAATATTCAGTTTAAAATAACTTGCCCCCTGAATGTAGAGTGTCCTGTGTATATATAGAGGTACATTGACATACTTTTAAAAACTTAAAATCTGAACTTCACGAAACACAGCAGCGAATATCGACCGAAGAATCAATAATTCTATATAAAGGGTTTACAGCTACTCACACAAATGGCACATGTCCAAAATTAGCATATAAGTGTTCCTGCATAGCCAGCGACACTGCTGGGAAGTATGCCAGGCCAGCGCCGTGGGTGACCTTCTCAAACGCAACACCCATTGACGTACCGTTTCTGAATAGAATAGAATAACCATATGTATTTTTGTATAAACACCGTTTAAAAAAACCGACTTCAAGCCTCTGTTTTTTTTGAAGTCGGTTAATTAATATACTAAGGCCTTCTCATAAGTGTAACAAACACTTTTCTGAAATATAATCCGATATGCTTTATTTATTTATTTATTTAAGAGCAACCAATGACGTGGTAACCTTAATTGGGTAGATGCCTAATTTTTATTTTAATGTCCGTCTAGTAGATTATTTTAAATCATTAGACACGTATTTTTTATTTTTTTACAGAAACGAATACTTTCGACGATACATTGATTTGAAGTGTTGCGTGACGTCACTTCTATGTTCATTTTTTACGTAGAAATGAAATTTTAGCCCCCACTCCTAAACTTTGATTCGTTTTATCTAAGTATTGTTTTATTATACGACAAAGTAAAAAAAATACGTGTTTAATATTTTTTCATTACCCAACTTACGGACTAATTTATAATTTTCATACCATGTCATCGTTCCAATTAAAGGCTACCACGACATGCAATAAACAAAGAAGAGGATACCACAGCAAAAAGTTTACTTATCAAAAAAAGACATCTTAATAATACCTACTTGTTAAATCACAATTGTTAAATTTAATTTTTAAACTGTACAATTTTAATACAATTGAAATATACGACGAGCCTTCTACAGAATTTCTTATTTTACCCACAGCAGTGTGGTCCGGATCATCGCAAGCACAGGTAGATCACATTACCTTTTTGAACAATGGAGTTCTGAGTGGCTTTAAGTTTCCCAACCATACTTAGTTGGAATAATTGGTATAAATTACCTTCACTGATATTCCTGTTCAGACAAATATACCATAAGATACTCACATAGGTGTAAAAGCAAAATAACCCCATAGAGTGGAGTTTAACTCTGTGAGAATGTCCTACGCAAGACAGTACTTTCAATACTTTCATGATAACTCAGCTCAAAACATCTAAAAATTCATCGAAGAATTTCAGGCACGAGGTAATTCAAGCACATTATGTCGAAGCTCCACAAATACATTGCTATGAATTCTAAATCTGCTCGAGTTGACAAAAATAGCGCAAAATCGATTTTGATACGAGATTGCATCGCTGAGCGACGCGAAGATGAATTTCCTGATCGACTGAATTGATTCACTTGGAAATTGACTGAACAGGTGGAAAGATTGTGTTACTGACGGAGTGTATACTAAACTGCGTCAGTGACAGTATGATTTTTTACAATATGATTTTTATAATAACTATCGTGAGACATAATTAATTAACTAAAAATCGCGGGCTACTCACGTGAATATACTAAGAAAAGCTCTACTGGTTTTGAACCACAAAGGAGTTCTTCCTCATCAGGCTGGGCTACATAGCCGCGACCGCGCACGCTGCTTATGAGGATCTGTGGTTCGAAACTAGTAGAGCTTTTCTCAAAGGTTCTTAGTTAGTATGATTTCTCTTAGGTTTTTGGTTAATATGATTTTTGATTATACCTTTACATAATAAATATGTATATAGTTTTATTAGGAAGGCACTTAATAAAGGACAGACTTAGACCAGGCTAAGCTTTATTAATACTGAACAATATTTAAATTATATGATGTTCTTTTTTTTTAGAGATTTCGAAATTTTTAGTAATCGTCGTGCATCTTGATTTGTTTAGTGCCTATCATATATATCGTACGTATGATCCTTTTTACCGCCTTCAAAAAAGGAGGTTTTGGCGGGAGGGTATGGCACCGACTTCTAACCTATCAGTGGGTTGGTAACCTACCAGTATTAATAATAGTTATTTTTTGCTTTTTAGTTTTGACTTTTTGTCTGTTATTAGTTTTTGGTTTTTTGAAGTCGGTTTTTTTATTTAGTCTCATTCACGTTTCGGAGTTCATTGCTTCGGTTCTGTTTTTGGTTGATCTTTAATGTATGTCCTGGTTAAACGACGTTGTAGCGGTTTGACAATATTGTCTTTCATCTGGTTTCTACTATGGATATTGGCGTACAAAAGTTGCTGTAACTAAAATCTGTATGAAACTTTTCCTAAACAAAAATAACAGCTCATGTAACAGTAAAAATATATACTCAAGGTTCTCACCTATAAAACTCCAGAATCCCTCTATCCAGATCGATACAGGAGCCGATGACGTCACCAGGCAACCACGCCTGCCCGTAAGGCGAGGTGGCCACGTTCCACTTCCTGACTCTGCCTCCATCGTAGGCGTAGGAGTGTGCCGTGTCGCCAACTCCTGTGTCCATTGAGAAGATGCAGGACGCTGTGCACCAGCCGATCTAGAAAAGAATAATGAAGTTAAAGTCAAAGTAAGATAACATAATGCCTTTTATCCGCGAAGGGGTAGGCAGAGGTGCACATTACGGCACTTAATGCTACTATACAATGTAACTCCCACTTTTCACAACAATGTAACGCTCGGCCAACGAGGCAGTTAAAGTCAAAGTCCTTGTATTTTTTTTTGTTTATGGAAAAGGAGGCAAACGAGCAGACAGACCACCTGATGGTAAGTGAAATAATGTCTTAAACCAAGGTAATTTTTCTGGTGTTTTCACAAGAAATTATTTGTTCCAATTAGGAATCAAAAACAACCCAAAAAAACAAACCCAGGTTCACAATACAATTCTCTAGTTACATAGTTTTGTTGTTTGGATTGTGCGAGAACAATGTAACACCAAAATGCAGTCAAAGAGATCGAAAAAATGCTTACAGGACAGTAAATAATACAGTCTCACTTCCCTTCTATCGACTCTTACCTGCATGATACCTTTAGTTCCAAGTTGCACCTCATACATCCACTTGCCACCGTAGATGCATGCTGTAGCTCTGATCGTGGCGAAGCTGGACAGACCCTGGACGCTCACCCTCTCATCACCGACCAGGACTAAACGACCAGTACCTTGAAATTAAGAAAATTGTGATGGGTACCTACATACCTTGTCATATCGTCGTCAATCTTTATATATTTATTAGTGTTGCCCGCAATTTCGTCCGTGTAGAATATGAATTTTTGACCATAACTACTTTTTTGTTTCAATTTTCCAAAATAAAAGTAGCCTATGTTACTCTTTAGTACATCAGCTACCTGTCAATAAAAGTGTTGCAAAATCGGTCCAGTCATTCTAGAGATTAGCCAGTACAAACAGACAGACAAAATTGTAACAACATCGAAAAAAATGTTATTTTGGTATGTATATCGTATGTATATGTATATGCATGTATGTATGTTATTTAATATTACAAACAGACACTCCGATTTTATTTACATGTATAGATGTATAGATTGCGATCTGCCTTAAATGGGCCAGTCGATCGAACTGGAGAAATAAAGTTAACAATAGCTTTAGGAGTATTTTGTGTTCAGAGTAAGATTTTAGTTTCAGCTGACGGCAAATTCATCGGCGTTTTTTTCGAATTTTAAGATCAAGCTCACTCAGATTAACGGAGAAGTCATATATATCATTCATATATATCAATCAAACATACATACATAACTTGATGCTTGTCTCCCATGGGGGTAGGCAGAGACTATGGAACACAATTACTAGCCAATATTAGTACTTACAAAACTTGATGAGGAGTTGGAGGACGATGAGGACGATGACGATGAGGACGATGATATAGGGTGCCCAACAAAGAACATGTAGCAATAAAACTATGATATAAGTGTATATATATGTATAGTTATACTCGCGTGAAGAAAAACAAAAACCCTTTCCTATAAGAGCTCACCGCTCCAAATGTTCCAAAACAACCAACGACAGTCGCATTTCTGTCTAATTGGGATGATGACAGGGTATGAAAATTAAAAATCTAATTAGTCCATAAGTTAGGTAATGAAAAAATATTCGTCGTCTAATAAAACAATACCTACTTAGATAAAACGAATCAAAGTTTAGGAGTGGGGGCTAAAACGTCATTTCTACATATAAAATGTACATAGAAGTGACGTCACGCGACATTTCAAATCAACATATCGTCGAAGTATTCGTTTCTGTTACAAAATAAAAAATACGTGTCTAATGATTTAAAATAATCTACCAGACGGACATTAAAATAAAAATTAGGCATGTACCCTATTAGTAAACTGTCTGGAAAACATTCTGCCTGTACTAATTAGACCAATTACTCTTGTATTGTGGTGTCGCTTTGTGACAGTTTAGTCTGTGGCGCCACAACAAACGGGCTTTTGATGACATTCCTAGGCGGGAAATGGCGGCCAGCCGACGCATACTAAGTGGGGACTAATGAGAGGTTTATTTGGAGCTAGTAATATATGGGATGTATATTTATGAGTACTTCTAAAAGACAAATATTAACAAGAAAGTTGCAACTTATTGATGTTAATATTTTTTTATGGGAAAAGCCGCTAAACGACCATACGGATCACCTTATAAGACGTCGCCCATGGACACCCGGAACACCAGGAGCGTTACAAGTGCGTTACCGGCCTTTTGGGAATTGGGAATTTGAGGATTGTGGGGCATTTGGGGTTTGGGGAGACTGGGGAGGAGGGGGGTAATTGGGCCTCACACGACGAAACACAACGCAAACGTTGTTTCACGTCGGTTTTCTGTGAGGCCGTGGTATCACTCCGGTCGAGCCAACCTATTTGTGCTGAAGCATGGCTCTCCCACACTTACCGCTTTAGAAACTTACCGCTAATATTAAACTAATAAACTTAAAATGACATTAAACCTGATCTAGGCGCCGTTATGTCCGTTATAAAAAAAGACTGCGTATACTTTACAATTTCAGACTCCAAGCTATAACTGAGAACTACGAAACCAAACAATCTTGGATTTAAACTCACCCGGAAATCGGTCGTATTCGTCCGTCTCAACAGTTACTATAAAGTCTTATGGTGCTTATTGTATAAACAAAACTAATTTACTGATTTAATGTAAACAAACTAACCAGTGGATGCATCGAACACCACGATTTTTGGTCCAATCCTCCCAAATCTGTCGTCTGTCGAGTCAGTAGTCTGAAATTAAAAATATTTAAGTATTAAAAAAATAAAATTATAAAACTCTTTGAACCAAATTATAATGTGCAGTTTTATTGTTATGTCTAAATTTTTAACCCGTCGAGCGGCCGCGTTCCTTATGATCCAACGGGTGCACACTTGACATTTAGAGCATTTTTTCTTATGTTCCACCGGGTGCTCATAAGGACGCTCGAGGGGTTAATTGCATTGGTTTCCAAACGGGTACATGGTAGGTAGACGGAGAGTTATACAGCTTGGCAATAAATAGTTCGTAATTCGCGTGTTTTCGTTTTGTCTGGTAGATGGCGCTATACTATATATTTAACGGTACTAATGATAGTTACTTTTTTCTTTTTAGTTTAGACTTTTTGTTTGATGTTATATTGTCATATTTTTGTAAAAACTAAAAACACTTACGATTTTGTGGGTTGTAATGGTATTTGCAACAGAGATCATGAACGATTTGATATACAGCTGAGCTACTCTAACGAAGTAAAGAAAATATTCATTTTTCGAAAAATACCGAAGCCTGCCAATTTGTGGGAAGTTTTAGTTTTGTTACATTTTGTTTGCGCGGATAGAAAGTGGGTCAAGTTTTTTTTTATTTTTTAATCTGTGGTGCGGCCGAATACACTCTGGATACTAGTCCTTTGAGCTTTATACTTTGACGCTACGTAGTGTATAGATTGTAACCAAATATTTTTTTTAAACACAGGGCGTTAAAGGTGAAATTCCTATGAAAGTTTGAGAGCTTTATTAACACCATAACATCACGCCTTTTATCCCCGAAGGGGTAGGCAGAGGTGCACATTATGGCACTGTACAATGTAACACCCACTTTTCACTATTTATGTTATGAGTCCCATGTAATAGGGGGTGAGACACCACACCTAATATTCAAAAACATGTACAGAGGAGCAAAATTTCTGTACAAAACCTACTTTTCGCCATCGCCACCAGACAAATACAATTTCAACTTAATATTTACGTAATAAAGTTTAAAATATCAAAGAATAGTACACACGGTTACATAATAAACCAGTTAATCATGGTCTCGTATTGTATGATCTCTCCCAACATTCAAAGGTCAGTTTATACTGGTATGCATAGTTTTTTGTGGAGTGGTACAATATCTTACGTCTGAAACAGGCGGGGCATGTTTCTTGGTCTTAGTCTTATGGTTCATGACCTTCGCATCCAGCATCTTTGGCAGATTCTCACGGATATGAGTCACGTACTTGCTCCTTCTGTAAACGATAACGATACAAAAAACAAATTTCATAAGTATTCATTACATCCATACTAACAACGACAATTTATAAAACTCATAAAGAAGTTGTTCCGTGTGGGAATCGAACCCAAAAGGGCGAAGGTATCGCATTTTGCTAGTGCAAAGTTTAGACTCTAGTCAGTCCAAAAGGGCTCCGGCTCGACGTGCAGGAGAAGGAACGGGGTGGTTTTTAGTCAGTAAGAGTCTGACACTCTCTCCCGCCTCACCCAGGCGGGAGCAGTCATTTGATGATTTTCCCCACTTAAAAAAAAAAATAAAAAAAAAATAAGTCAGTCCAAACAAATAAAAGATTCCGCCCAAAGCATACTACATTGTACAATTTTCTTCTGTAAAGCGGTATATTAAGAGTCTGACACTAAGGCGGGAGCAGTCATTCGATGATTTTCCCCACTTAAAATAAAAAAAAATAAAAAAAGAAATAAGTCAGTCCAAACAAATAAAACATTCCGCCCAAAGCATACTACATTGTACAATTTTCTTCTGCAAAGCGGTATATTAAGAGTCTGACACTCCCTCCTGCCTCACCCAGGCGGGAGCAGTCATTCGATGATTTTCCCCAATTAAAATAAAAAAAAATAAGTCAGTCCAAACAAATAAAACATTCCGCCCAAAGCACACTACATTGAATACACAATTTTCTTCTGCAAAGCGGTATATTAAAAAAAAACACATTCAATTTATGGTACAAAAATGTCATCAATCCTTTTTTTTAATACCCGCCACTTTAGTTTATTCGCAAGCGCTTGGAACAACGTCCGTGCGTTGCGATTTTTTTTTAATTATTTTAATATCTTAATTAAAAATTATTGTCTAATTAGTTCAGTATTCAATGTTTTATGTTCAGTGAGTTGTGTCAGTGTTAGTATTATGTTGAAATACTTTAATTTTTTTAAACCACTTAATTTTAAGTTGTTTAAGTATAGTTGTTGTGTTACTACAAATTCTATGTAAAATGACAGAGACGGGACGGTATTTAAATACAACTTAAATAGTAGCCTTTCAGTGTTCGGGCGATAGTGTTTTGCTGAACAAGCTATTTGGATATAAATATGTAAGTACTGTCTTTAATTTTTATTCGAATTAAACTTGTTATAAAATGGACGCCTACGATGATGATATACGAATTTTGGTGAGAAAGTTATGAGGCTTAAAAGTGTTTTAATATGCTACTATTTCCCTTTCATCACGCGGATAAAGACGGGACTAGAATGCTTGTTTATGCTATAATGAAAGTGTACAACGAAGAAAATAGCCTCGTGTGCAAAATTACAGACAACAGCTACTAGCATTTGCGTTCCGCCCTCGTGTTGGTATGTAGCCACCAGACAAATACAATTTCAACTTAATATCTACGTAATGAAGTCTAAAATCTAATAGGATAGTACACACGGTTACACATCGAGTTAAACAACACCGGTTTAACATGGTCTAGCTTTGTGTGAACTTATCGATCATTCGACGGTCAGATTATACTGGGTTGCGTAGCTTGTGGCCATGTGTACGGTCCTTCTGTACCAAAATTGTATGAATGTGTGTGTGTGTCTGTGAAAATTACGTACTTTAACTAGAATAGATTGTCGACTTTATTAAGAGACTGTAAAGTTGGAATTCTATTTAAGTATTTTAATGATAAGTTCTTCGCAAAAACGCGTATTTAATTTTGTTGTTAGGTGATTCTTATTTTGAAATTTTTCGAGATTCCATATTTAAATTCTTAACTTCTTTTTTTATGGCATAAGGAGGTCAACGAGCAGAAGTATTTATTTCATAGTAACACCAGTGGTAACACCAAAGATCTTTGGGTGGATTGGGCCTCTGCTAACTTCATTCACACGACGAAACATAACGCTAGCATTGTTAATTCGAAGCGCTGTCTCCTCGTAACCCAGCCATCGCGAAGGACACTCCGGGCGTCGGGGATCGCGAGACGATCTCCGGCAACCGTAAGCGCGGGCCTGCGGATGGTGAGCAAGGGTAGCGCGACGCCCGATCGGAACCAGTCCCGTGCAGACGGTGCATTGCAATCCGCGCGCGCCTCAAAGAGCCATCAGACCACCACAGATGGGGCCCAATAGAGCTGATGCCCGATACGGAAGGCTTAACGGGTTGCCGGGGCTCCGGCTCGAAGAGCAGGAGTAGGAACAGGGTGGTTTTTAGTCAGTAAGAGAGTGACACTCCCTCTAGTTTAACCCAAGGCGTCAAGTCATTGTATGACTTCCTCTTTCAAACAAAAGTAGTCAAATCATCGCGCTGGATAAAACAATGAGACTGGTCGTTTACAGACAAAGTCACGAGTGTAGTCTAGTTATAAAATAACTCCACACTACGTATTTATAATATGAGTGACAGCTGATATTGGTTATTTAGTTCTCAAGACCGGGTGTGTTATTAAACATTGTACTTCCTACTTAATAATATAAGTGCGAAAGTTTGTGAGGACGTATGTGAGGATGTATGTGAGGATGTATGTGTGTGTTTGTTACTCTTTTACGTCAAAACAACTGAAGGGATCGAGATAAAATTTGAAACAGAGGTAGATTACGATCCTTTTGAGGGGGGAAAATCGTCCAATGACTTCTTCCGCCCGGATGAGGCGAGAGGGAGTGTCAGACTCTTACTGACTAAAAACCATCCCGTTCCTACTCCTGCCCTTCGAGCCGGAGCCCCGGCCACCCGTTAAGTCTTCCGCGGCTCCGTATTGGTATCAGCCCTGTTGGGCCCCATCTGTGTTGAGATTATGGTCTTAAATATCACATTGACCACTTTCTATCCGTAGTAGTTGTTGCGGAGAACCTAACGGGTAACCGGGGCTCCGGCTCGACGTGCAGGAGAAGGAACGGGGTGGTTCTTAGTCAGTAAGAGTCTGACACTCCCTCCCGCCTCACCCAGGCAGGAGCAGTCATTTGATGATTTTCCCCCCTTAAAAAAAATCCGTAGTAGTTGATAATAATAAGGAGCATATAGTATTGTAGTTTCTTTATGTGTGGGAACCTAGCTGTATGTTTACTAGACATACCTTGAAGTCATTGATTCAATCTTATCTTACTAATATCTTGTCTATAGTATATCTATATTTATACATATAATAAAATCGTATATAGGAAACTGAAAACTGTACATTGAATATCTTTTTAAAAGAATGCTTGAGGCGTGATCTACAATTGATATCGAAAATAAGGTTTTAAGAATTTTCGTCTGTTTGTCTGTATGTATGTCCGGATTAAACTCAAAAAGTACTGTATGGATTTACTTCAAATTTTGTATGAATATTACTCGGTCGGTTCAACATATAGGCTACTATATTATCACGCTGTCAGCTACGGAAGAGGAGCTGTGAATCAATATTCCACGCGGACGAATTCACGGGCACAGCTAGTTAATGATGCGACAGTTTATGTGTTTGTATGTATGTTTGTTACAATGTTACTCAATCATCGCTGAAGAGATTGAGTTAAAAGGTTTATGGTCTGCAATAGCACATATGCTATTGTTTGTCGCACGGGAACCCGGGCAAGTTTTTTTTATTTTATTTATTATTTATAGAGGAATTTTCCAAAGGAGTGGCCTTATATCTAAATTCGCCAAACTTTAACGTTCGCAGGACATAGCTTAGCATTTGTTATAATAGCTGTACTAATCATATTTTATTTTTATTTTATTTTCTCTCTCTGTCACTGTACGTTTCGTGAATTTTTCTGAGCCACGGAATGCTAGACGTGTCGCGTGTTCAATTGCCGCATGGAAAGATTTTGTATGATCAACATTTTGTTGTTTCGTGTCTATGAGTAATGTCCATGTGAACACATTCACCTACCACCTACATACAGAAGAAAATTCTACTCTGTATTCAATATTATACGTCTGTTCTTGCTAATTTATATCCTTTACTTTACTTAACATCACGCCTTTTATCCCCGAAGGAGTAGGCACAGGTGCACATTACACAATGACACCTTAATGCCACTGTACTATATAACACCCACTTTTCACTATTTATGTTATGAGTGCCATGTAATAGGGGGTGAGCCTATTGCAGTATTGCCATATATCGGGCACAATGCCAGACTCCGTGCCACTACTGAGAATTTATTTAAAAACCCGGTAATACATAGCTCGACCCGGGAATTGAACCCGTGACCCCTTGCCCAGCAGTCGCACTTGCAACCACTCAGCCAACGAGGCAGTCTCTACTAATATCATAAAATCAACTCATTTGGTACTTACTGAAAATGCCTGTCAGTATTATCCTTCATCACCATCTCATTGCCGAAGACCCTTCTGATGGTGTCGTGGACCTCGCCCTTCTCAGCTGAACTGCTGCAGACACCAAACATAGACCGGAGTACGTTCATCATTGGAGATTACCACAATAGGTCTCCTTACTCTTCAAAATGTCACCTGGTTAAGAGATGTGTGCTAACACCAGTGCCTTTAAAGGCGTGAATATATGGATAAGACGGTGTGTATGGGATCTAAGCTATGACCTTCGTGGTTAAAGGCTATTGGATTAGTCATTTAGTTAACCATATAGAAAATATTTAATAGAGCAAAAGTTTGTGTGCAAATCTACTAATGCACATTGCATTCGACTCGCTATACGTGCTTGTCCACATGTTATACAAGTATGCAACTGTTATCATCATCAACAGCCTATAAGTCGTCACCGCTGACCAAAGGCCTCATCCCACACGGAGAAGGTTTGAGCATTAATCACCACGCTTGCTCATTGCGGGTTGGCGATTTCAAACTTATTAGACATTACGAGTATAAGCCCAGGTTTCCTCACGGTGTTTTCCTTCACCGTTTGTCAGTGGTATCTAACTAATATTAGAAAGTATATATAACTCGGAAAAATGTGTAACTGTGCACTCATTAATATATGATCGAAGAACTATGTAAGTGCCTAATTAAAAGGTAGGATTAAAATTTGTTCAACATCATCATCATTATCAGTTCACCCACAAGGCTATTACACATTTACTGTAACATACTCATCATCACATCAGCCTTAAGACATTCAATGCTGAACATAATGCCTCCTCTAATGACTTCCTTATTGGCTGGTTGGAAGTAACCTGAATCCATCGGTTCCATAACATAACATCACGCCTTTTATCCCCGAAGCGGTAGGCAGAGGTGTACATTATGTATGCCACCGTACAATGTAACACCCACTTTTCACTATTTATGTTATGAGTCCTATGTAATAGGGGGTGAGCCTATTGCCATATACCGGGCACGATTCCAGACTCCGTGCTACTACTGAGATTTTTTAAAAAAAACCCAGTTATACTTTACCCGACCCGGGAATCGAACCCGAGACCCCTTGCCCGGCAGTCGCACTTGCGACCACTCGGCCAACTAGGCAGTCTTATACTATTTCGGTTCCCTACGGCTTCTTTTACATCTTATATCTTATACTATTATATAAAGCGGCGTTTGTTTTTTTGTTTGTTTGTTTGAACGCGCTATACTCCGTAACTACAAGTCTGATTTGAATAATTATTTTTGTGTTGGATAGCGCATTTATCGAGGATGGCTTTAGGCTGTAAAACATCACGCTACGACCAATAGGAGCTGAGCAGAGCGTGTGAAACCGCGCAGAAGAAGCAAGTTCCTTCATAAGTATTTGATTGTGTAGCTAATTATAATGAACTAGATACTCCCACGCGGCTTAATCCGCTGCTCCTATCGATCGTCACACTCCATCCCTTCAACTATCTCCATTAAAAAACACGTCAATTTTTCATCAATTTTTCGCTCCGATTTGCTGTAAAAGCCGGACAAACTAACAGATATTTTTTTTCCGATTTATAATATCAGTATGGATTGTTAAATTACCTTAGAGAAGGCAGCAGAAAATTACATACACCTATTGGTTTTTCCAGGTTAACCGCTTTTGATTTTCGGGTTTTCTTAGCAATTGATAGCTGTATAGCGTTTCTTGAGTAACTGTTGAAGGTCACAAGGCCTTATTAGACCATTCAAATTACAAAGCAAAATATCATTCTTCACTCCATGTAAATTATTCACTTTTAATCAATAATTTTAACGTATTTCCTCAATGAACAATTATAATATTAACACAAATAAAAAGTTCCAAAATAAAGCTTTATAGCCTACAAACAAATACAGGATTAATTGAATTCTAAAAGAATTAACACAAAGTCTTCATGATACAAAATTATTTGTAAAATATATTTCAAAATCATATGGCAGATGCATGTCAAAGATGTGTCAACTCGATGGATGGGGGATGATTGAAAAAGGTTTGTTTTAGACGTATAGGAAAAAGGTTGTACCACATTTTTATTGTGGTGATCGAGTGGTTGCGAGGTTTTTGCTTTGATTATAAGACTATGTCAAAAAAAATTGAGATTAATAACTTTAAAAACCCTTTACTATAAGATTTAGAATTTTATAGCAACCATTCCCGGTGCGGTAAGTTGGCGAGTCCTAGCCTGCCATCTTTACGTGTTATAATTACATTGTTACAGCAGGTGCCATAGTTATCCATAGTTCCCAATTTACCGATTCACAGCAACCCATCCATATCCCTACCTTTTTTCCATTATCTACAATAGTTCTACACTAACCGGGGACAGTCCATGTGTGCATTTCCGTTGTGCATACAGGGATAGTCGCCGGTTTCTGCGTCCATTACAAGATTAAAGTTGCCTAAAGGGCATCTGCGCACGCCTCTCGTACGCCTCCCAAATGACCCTGTGTTCCCGTGAATGGTAAAGATATAGTCTAAAATTGTGCCTCTTATTCAAACGAACACAATGGTACCTACTGAATACATCTACATACCTATATGTATAAGTACGTACATGACTTACATACTATTTCAGTAATCATAAAACACTAGCGACTCGCCCCGGCTCCGCAAGCGTGCAATATGCATGTATTATACCATATAACCTTACTTAAGAATCACTCTATGTATCTATTAAAACAACCGCATCAAAATCTGTTGCGTAGTTTTAAAGATCTAAGCATAGGGAATACATAGGGAGGTCGCGGAGAACCTAACGGGTAACCGGGGCTCCGGCTCGACGTGCAGGAGAAGGAACGGGGTGGTTTTTAGTCAGTAAGAGTCTGACACTCCCTTCCGCCTCACCCAGGCGGGAGCAGTCATTCGATGATTTTCCCCCTTAAAAAAAAGCATACATAGGGATAGACAGACTGATGTTTAAAGATGTTTTATACTATGACTACAAAGTAATAATTACTAAATTATCAACAAAAATTAATAAGAAAACCTCAGATAACCTTTCCATTCCAAAAGAAGAAACCAATCAATAATATGACCTGAATAAATGTTCTTGAAAGCTAAATAAACACGTACTTAGATTTATATCAGCCCATTTGTCTGCCATTCACATAATTGTACAGCAATTACAAATATATGTCCATCTTATTGCCGGATGGCCCATAAATTTTAATGGCCTGTGAAATCGTGCCGGCTTCGGGCCGAACCCTAACACCGTCCCATTGGGCCCTCATTATTTTGGCCCAGGCCTTATTTATCGATTTATTTGGGTCCGCAAGGTTTATTTTTCTATTTGTATGCGCATATTAACGGCTTTTTCAATGTTTTCCTTCCTGATAAAATATTGAGTTGAGGTGTAAGTTATTTTGAGTTGTGAGTTACGCAAATGAAGAAAGAAAGAAAGAAAGAAAGAAAAACCATTTATTTTTGCGCAGAAAACACATAACATAATTAAAAATAAAAATACAATAAAATAAAATAAAAGCTAAAAAATGAAAAATGAAGTCTTTTCCATGGTCCACAGACTTATTATTTTGCTGAAATCCTTATCCTTACTATAATATAATATATATATATATATAATATTATAAATCTGAAACTGAGTTTGTTTGTTTGTTTGTTTGTTCCACCTTCACGCCGTAACTACTCAACCGATTGCTTTGAATTTTTGCAGACGTAAAGTTAGAAGTCCGGATTAAACTGTCAAACACCAAGCGGTCACCGGTGACCGCGACCTATTGTTCTTTAATTGTGTCTATAAACCCGGTACTCGACGAGTTAAATAATAGGGTACTTTTTAACCTGGAAAAAATTGATATTCCCGAGGAAAAACAAAAGTATTGGTATAGATGGCGCTGTGTGTATTGGTATATGTCACATAAGCTACTTTTTATTCTTTTGTGACGCGAGCGAAGCCGCGGGTAAAAGCTAGTCATAGAATAAATGACATGATATTATGTTTGGTAAGATGTGTAGAGAAGTGTAAATTATTTGTTAGATAAGTTCTGGTATGCAGATAAGTTTACATTATTTGCAAGTTCTCATTATACAGTCACAAGATGTTCATTGATGAACGAAGCCTTCTTCCAATTCCGAGGTGACCGAAAACCGCAAAGTATTTGTGTCCGCCTTGAAACAGAAATTGGAACGAGTTGGTTTTTAGGTTTGACAATCCTCGTCTGACCTAAGGGCAGGATTAGTCATTAGATGATTTTCTCCCCTCAGATAAAGATCTCTCTAACTGACTCCATCCAATTCTGTTTTGTAAACCATACATTACCATGTTTTATAGTCACAAAGCTTTTTAATAGACATGTTACGTATTGGTGCCGACACATGTACCTACACCGTGATCAACATCATGTCACCAGCCCCAGATCTGCTAAATCAGGACATTACACCTTTTTTTTTTTTTTTTTTTTAACCCCAAGGTGGGACATCCTCATGGAGCCCCCTCGCCTGGGGAGGACGAAAGGGACTGTCAGACTCTTACTGACTAAAACCCACCCCGGTGTCCCGTCTCACACGTGGGTACGAGGGTGCGGGAGTCACATTCATCCGCAGCCCCCGAACTCGTGGCGGCCTGCCTTGCCAGGCCTCACCTCAAGATGCACGGAGAAGTGAGGTGTTGGTCTTCTCCGTGCAACGTCTCGGAGGCGCGCGTGGACACAACGCGCGCCACCGTCTCGGGTCCTTTACAACGGGATGACGGGGACTTCCCCAAGTCCACCGTCCCCGGACCCATTTAGGGGGGTCGAAAGAGAGTAATTTCTGCTCTCCTTCGACGCCCGGTGCGCCTACTGCGGGAAGGTAGAGACATTGCAATTTCCCTTTCCCTCTCCGCAGCCTCCTTCCGCGACATTACATCTTCGCAGAAGGACACCACTGCATCCCACGACTCTGCACTGCCGACCATTTTTTGGACAACAGTCGACAGTGACAGATCGTCACCGATCTCTAATATGAGGGCACGACGCGGCTCATCCCAAGCCACGCACTCCATAAGGGTGTGCTGCGCCGTATCCTCCTCACAATGGACGCAGTGATGGCACCGAGCGTTTGGCTCCTTGCCTATGAGGACATTACACCTACTTTATATACTATATACACCTATCTATCATCCCACTAAATTGAACCTCAATAGGTTTTATTGAAGTCGTAGTCGTGGTGGCCCGGAGGTTTAAGACGCCCACTTTTCATGCATGAGGGTGCGGGTTCGAAACCTACCAACGGCAAGTACCAATGTGACTTTTTCCGAGTTATATGTACTTTCTAAGATTATTTAGACACCACTGACAAACGGTGAAGGAAAAACATCGTGAGGAAACCTGGACTTATAATTTCTAATTATAAGTTTGAAATCGCCAACCCGCATTGAGCAAGCGTGGTGATTAATGCTCTAACCTTCTCCGTGTGAGAAGAGGCTTTGCTCAGCAGTGGGCATTTATAGGCTGTTGATGATGATGATGATGATGAGGTTTTATTGAAAACCTTCTTTCGAAATAATTTTAAGACATGAAAGCAGTGTTGTTCCATCATCGAACGCATTCGCTCTTAGGTTAGTTAGATTTTAGGAATTAATTTTAATAAATATAGTAAAATGATTATAGTTTCCATTTGCACCCTCTGTCGGAGGCAGAAACATAACTCACAGGTAAGTAAATAAAAAAATAAAATAAAAAATAAACAAGAAACCTTTTCCCGGTTAATATCTGGTGGACCAGTCCCAGTATATTTTAATGGTCTGTGAAACTGCCAGTTCACGGCTCGGAACGGAATCCGAATCACAATTCATGCAATTATTTCCAGCCATCCCATTTTATTTAGATACTCTTATTTGTCATTATGAACATTTATTCACGTTTTACGTTCGTTTTTCTGTTAAGAAAGTAGATAAAATGAACTTAGAACAAATGTGTAGTACCTATTTATTCATTGCTATTTTTCTATTTAACTGACTTGTTCTAATGAGCAAGTTACTGGGATACAACGCGCGACGTACTCTATGAATTATTTCAGAATGTACACAATCTGTCTCTGTGCCAAATTTTATCAATGTTTCAGTTCAGTGCTTTTAATTGAATTGAAACATTGACAAATATCAATTAATTTATGTGTAGATTAGTTAATTAACAATTCTCACATTCATAATACCTAAGAGGCCGGTAACGCGCTTGTAACGCCTCTGGTGTGCCATGTGTCCATGGGCGACGCCGATTGCTAACCATCAGGTGATCCGTTTGCTAGTTTACCGGCTTATCCTCTAAAAAAATTAAGTTAAGGAGGAGGCGGGGCGCATGAGGCAGCGAAGCGTTGCCTCCTCACAACCCAGCCGTCGCGAAGGACACTCCGGGCGTCGGGGATCGCGAGACAATCTCCGGCCACCGTAAGCGCGTGCCTGCGGACGGCGAGCACGGGTGGCCCTCCGCCCGACCTGAACCAGACAAGAGCGTACGGCGCGTCGCGTTCCGCGCGCGGTTCAAAGAGCTATCAGACCACCACGGATGGGGCCCAAAAGGGCTGTTGCCGATACGGAGCCACGGAGAACTTAACGTTGTACTGGGGCTCCGGCTCGAAGTGTAGGAGTAGGCTGGGACCAGCAAGTCGATGATTTTCCTCCTAAAAAAATCCTAAAAAAATTAAGATGGGAAATAGGAACACGATTTGGGTCTGCACTATAAATACAAACCTGGATATCTTCTTAAACAGTCATGATATGATAACAAAATACTTAAATACAATGGTTTGTTTATTTTGTTGACTTTGCTTACAAAGTCAAAGTCAGACGTTAATAACAAATTGAACATAGTCAGTAAAAACTTGTAAACTTGAAATGTTAAATGCAAACTGTTTGCAAACTGATCTGATTCTGGGTCAAGGTCATTCAATATTCGTT